AAAAACTGATGATGTAAAGGTAACATCGGAACGGGGAAGGATTCATCATCTGCAAAAACTGCTCACTCAGATGTTTGCAACGAGAGGGCTTTGGACCACGTTCCTCAACGCGAAGCTCTGGCCACTTTCCACTTCGCTACAGCCTCCCCCCCCCCCCAACTAATTTCAGGACTGTAACAACCAATCACGTGTCGGCAATTGTTCCACATGACGAACCACGTCGCTGCAAATCACCGAGTGGATCGCTTGAAAGTGGAATCTCTACTTCTGCGGCAAGAATCTAAAATCTGCGGCGAAATTCTAGAATCTCTACTTTAAGCAGCCTGAAGCACAACTGCCCGCAACCGGCAACAGAGACATCCAAATGGTTGCATGCAACTAAACCGCACAAACAGGTCACCCAGGTGTAGACGCGTCCTATGGGACCGATGCGTTTTTTTTTCGTTAACAGATGTCACACGGGCCATTGCCCTCACGCCCGGGTGCCCCGCGCCCACGTTACCGAGAGCCGGGGGCACTTGTTGTCTGCCGTCAGCGTCCACGTGCTCTTCTTCTCCGGCTTGAGCTCCCCGTCCACTTTCACATTGCACTTCCCGCTCTTCAGTTCGGCTGAGCCGCGGTAGACGTCCTTCCAGTCAGCCCGTAGGCTCAGCTTGTTGTCGTCAGGCAGCCCGGCGCTCTTCAGCTGCGGCACCGTGTGGCGCAGCGTCGACTCCAGACTGAAGGAATTGCACTGCGTCTTGAGGGCCCAGTCGGCGCCTTTGCCATCCCACGTCACGCTCGACTTGATGTCCATGGGGCAGCCCTGCACCTCGGCCGAGCCCTTGGCCTGCATGGAGGCCGGCACACCCCAGTCCTGCTCCACACAGAGAAAGAGAGAGATGTTGCAGTGCCTTCACACGTGAGCCATCTCGCGCACAACAACATCGTTCTTGAAACCGCGCAACTTAAAGCCTTTCTAGTTCCGAGGCGTACTGCATGTTGCAGGGTCGTGGGTGTCCCCAACCACCACTGAATCTCGGAACGCATGAGCGGTTCAGCATTAATTTAATATAGGGAGGCGGAGTAGCGCTGTTGATTTTAAAGACATTGTTACTCAACACCGAGAACCGTAGGGAAACTACTGCCACACTCTACGACAGCTGGCACCAAACCATGCCACATGGGCTTGTGGGAGCCTCGGTACCGATACAATTGTTTTGTTAAAAAATGTTATTTTTCCGATTTCAGTTTGATGACGTACACGTACGTCATCGGAACGAACTCAGAAGAAAAACTGATGATGTAAAGGTAACATCATCGGAACGGGGAAAGGTTAATCATTTGCAAAAACTGCTCACTGAGATGTTTGCAACGAGAGGGCTGTGGACCACGCTCCTCACCGCGAAGCCCTGGCCACTTTCCACTTCACTGCAGCCCCCCCCCCCCCACTCATGTCAGGACTGTAACAACCAATCACATGTCGGCAAATGTTCCACATGACGAACCACTTCGCTGCAAATCACCGAGCGGATCGCTTGAAAGTGGAATCTCTACTTGCGCGGCAAGATTCTAGAATCTGCGGCGAGATTCTAGAATCTCTACTTTAAGCAGCCTGAAGCACAACTGCTCGCAAGCGGCAACAGAGACATCCAAACGGTTGCATGCAACTAAGCCACGCAAACAGGTCACCCAGGTGTAGACGCGTCCTGCGGGATAGTTCGCGGTTTTTTTTCGTTCACAGACATCACACGGGCCATTGCCCTCACGCCCGGGTGCCCCGCGCCCACGTTACCGAGAGCCGGGGGCACTTGTTGTCTGCCGTCAGCGTCCACGTGCTCTTCTTCTCCGGCTTGAGCTCCCCGTCCACTTTCACATTGCACTTCCCGCTCTTCAGTTCGGCTGAGCCGCGGTAGACGTTCTTCCAGTCAGCCCGCAGGCTCAGCTTGTTGTCGTCGGGCAGCCCGGCACTCTTCAGCCGTGGCACCGTGTGGCGCAGTGTCGACTCCAGGCTGAAGGAGTTGCACTGCGTCTTGAGGGCCCAGTCGGCGCCTTTGCCGTCCCACGTCACACTCGACTTGATGTCCACGGGGCAACCCTGCACCTCGGCCGAGCCCTTGGCCTGCATGGAGGCCGGCACACCCCAGTCCTGCGCCACACGGTCACGGAAAACGGGCGGGTATGAACGTTCCCTCTACGTTGAGACGGCACCAACACAGCCACTGCCATGATTACCATCGCATACACAACTACCCCCCCCCCCCCCCACCACCGCTACCACTCACAGAGTCGCAGTGATTTCCTGTTCACAGGATTGGTGAGGCATCGGTGCTCATCTCCTATTTAAAACCCTGAGCCAGCGGTGGATGTTCCACATTCCTATGGCACCCTGGCTAGTCTCTCCTGAAGACAGCCGCTGTTAACTTCCCCACAGAATGACTCTCGTTCTATCGACCCCAGACAGACGATTTGGCCGAGTTGACCCCCCCAAGCCAGGATCCGAACATGCGACCTTCAGACCGCGAGCAGCTGGCTCTATACCACTGCCTCTACCGCTGGATCTGCCGCCGAGCCACCTTGCCTGCCTAAAAATGCCGCAAGCCTCATGTACGTATGCAAATATGATTAACTTCTTTTGCACCGTACGTAGCCAACCGTGCTAATCTGAGCTAACATCGTTCATGTCCTGGGGAGAATCATGCCGCTGGACGCGTGGAAACAAGACCGGCGCTGCCTGTGCGGGACGCACCTGCAACTTGGGACACCTGTTGGTGGCGGCCACGTCCCACTGGGCCTTCTTCCCGGGCCGCGCCGTGCCATTGAGCTGCACCTCGCACTTGCCCGTGAGCAGCTTGGCAGATGCCTCGTACTGCTTGGCCCAGTCCAGCTTGAGAGAGAGGCGGTTGTCGTCGGGCAGCCCGGCGCTCTTCAACTGTGGCACAGTGTGGTGCAGTGTCGATTCCAGGCTGAAGGAGGTGCACTGCGTCTTGAGGGCCCAGTCAGCACCTTTGCCATCCCACGTCACGCTCGACTTGATGTCCACGGGGCAGCCCTGCACCTCAGCCGAGCCCTTGGTCTGCATTGCGGCTGGCACGCCCCAGTCCTGCGCCACACCAATAAGAGAAGCATCGCAATCGATGTTAGGACCGACACGGTACATTCGCGGACAAAACATAGATCACTGCCCTCACGCCCTGGTGCCCCGTGCCCACGTCACCGAGAGCCGGGGGCACTTGTTGTCTGCCGTCAGCATCCATGTGCTCTTTTTCTCCGGCTTGAGCGCCCCATCCACCTTCACGTTGCACTTCCCACTCTTCAGCTCGACCGAGCCACGGTAGCCGTCCTTCCAGTCGGCCCGCAGGCTCAGCTTGTTGTCATCGGGCACGCCGACGCTCTTCAGTTGCGGGACGTTGTGCTTGAGTTTGCCGAGGAGGCTGTAGGAGCCACAGGCCGTGTCGAGGCCCAGCTCGACGCGCCGCTCGTCGTAGCGCAGCAACGACTTGAGGTTGATGGGGCATCCGGCGCGGTCGGCTGAGCCCTTGAGCTCCATCTTCCCGGGGACTCCCAAGTCCTGGCCATGTCGCAAACACACAGTGCGTCGTCACTCGTACCCATGGTGCTTGCACCAACACACACCACACTCCAGCCACACGCTCCGAGCCGTAACTCCCATGCCGCAACTCACACCACATGAAAGCATGCAACACGGTGGCTAGGAGATGTTAACTACCTGTCCTGGTATGCAGGAGGACGTGGGTTTAATCCCGACCCTGATGCCTACTGTATATTTGGGGTTTGCATGTCTCTCTTGCAGGAAACGCTGTGTCGCTTCCGCCGGCGTGCTCACCTTGACAGTGGGGCACTGGTTGTTCCCGGAGAAGGCCCACTCAAGCCGATCCTTGGCCTTGATGTCGGCCGTCGCGTTCAAGTGGCAGCGGCCGCTGCTCAGCTCCACCTCGGCGCGGTACTTCCCGCCGTCTCCGCCGCCTGCGAGAAGCGCGACGCGGGAGTCGGGGGGCAGCCCGCGCTCACGCAGCGCCGCTGCTTGATGCTGCAGCCGCGCCTGCAGCGACAGCTTAGGCCTGCACGTGGCCCGAGCCTCCAGCGCCGCCCGCTGACCGTCAGCGAACGCCGAGGCAGTCAGGGCCCCCGCGCAGCCGTCCTCGCGCCGCACCGAGCCTGTGGTGATCGCCTGGGCTGGGAAGCCCGCGTTCTGCGGCGGGTCGGGTTTTAGACAGAGGGGAAGGGGGGAGGGAGCACGAATGGAGATCGGGAGGCGGTGGTGGAGAAGGGTTTAAAAGGGGAGAGCAGCAACATGGCGTGGCCACTCGCCAGGCAGCGCGTGAGCTTGGCTCCACGGCTGTGAGCGATTCGCTTCCGGCAGCGAGAGCGGCACCTCCTCGAGACGGTTTTCCGGATTCAGCACGCGATGTCACGACACCCCTCAAGCTCCTCCACCTCTTCACGTCTGTGCCCGCGCATGCCCCCATGAGCGTGCCCCCCCACGCATGGCCCCCCACGCGTGGCCCCCCGCGCGTGGGCCCCTCGTGCGCTGTGACCTTGCCTCGTCTCACCTTCAATAGGGGGCAGTTGTTCTCCGAAAAGAGCCTCCACTCCGCTTCCTTCTTCGCCTTCGTCTTGAGCTCCCCGTCCACCTTCACATTGCACTTCCCAGACGTCAGCTGTGCCGAGCCGCGGTAGCCGTCCTTCCAGTCGGCCTGCACAGTGAGTTTGCTGTCGTCGGGCAGTCCGGCGCTCTTCAGCCGTGGCACCGTGTGGCGCAGCGTCGACTCCAGGCTGAAGGAGTTGCACTGTGTCTTGAGGGCCCAGTCGGCCCCTTTGCCGTCCCACGTCACGTTCGACTTGATGTCCACGGGGCAGCCCTGCACCTCAGCCGAGCCCTTGGTCTGCATGGCGGCCGGAACGCCCCAGTCCTGCGCCACACGGATGACAGAAGCGGAGCGATCGATGTTAGGACCGACATGGTTTTGCGTTCGCGAACAAAACAGGGATCGTCGCCCTCACGCCCGGGTGCCCTGCACCCACGTCACCGAGAGCCGGGGGCACTTGTTGTCTGCCATCAGCGTCCACGTGCTTTTCTTCTCCAGCTTGAGCTCCCCGTCCACCTTCACGTTGCACTTCCCACTTTTCAGCTCGGCCGAGCCGCGGTAGCTGTCCTTCCAGTCAGCCCGTAGGCTGAGCTTGTTGTCGTCGGGCAGCCCGGCACTCTTCAGCTGTGGGACGTTGTGCTTGAGTTTGCCGAGCAGGCTGTAGGAGCCACAGGCCGTGTCGAGGTCCAGCTCGGCGCGCCGGTCGTCATAGCGCAGCAGGGACTTGAGGTTGATGGGGCAGCCGGCACGGTCGGCCGAGCCCTTGAGCTCCACCTTCCCAGGGACTCCAACATCCTGGCCACATCGCAAACACACGGCACGCCGTTGAGCTTGAGCGCTCATTCCGGAAGCCACTCATACCCACGCCGCACGCACCAACGCACGCCCGCGCCAAACAGAAAGGGGCCGCATCGCTGATATCACCTCACGGAGCCCCCACAATCCCCCCGACAAGGCAACCACTTTGGAGCTCTGTCGCAGGGATCACTCGGGGTGGAGTTGGTCCTTTTTTAACGTGTTCCTGATCCGACTAAGGATCCGTTACGTGACCTCGCCCTGTCACTGCCACCTGGGGTGCCGCGGTGGCTAGGAGATGTTAACTACCTCACCTGGTATACAGGAGGTCGTGATGCCTGCTGTATATTTGGAGTGTCTCTCTCTCCTCGTGGTCGCTGCATATGGAGGCCTATTTAAGGAGGCTGCGTATGGAGGCCTATTGAAGGATGCTGGGTATGGACGCTTATTGAAGGAGGCTGTGTATGAAGGCCTATTGAAGGAGGCTGTATATAGAGGCCTATTGAAGGAGGCTGTGTATGAAGGCCTATTGAAGGAGGCTGGGTATGGAGGCCTATTGAAGGAGGCTGCGTATGGAGGCCTATTGGACTCACCTTGGCTGCCTTACAGCTGTTGTTGAGGCTGAGGTCCCAGGTGGAAGATTTGCCGATCTTCACTGTACCCTTGGCCCCGAGGTGACAAGCGCCCACCGCCACCTCCACCGAGCCGGCGCCCTGAGGCCCCGAGGTCGCCAGCTCGGCCTTGACGCGGCTGCGCTCGGGCACGCCCTGCTTGGCGAGCGCCGCCATCGAGTGGGAGAGCAGCGCATCCAGCGAGTAGCGGGGGTTGCCCCCGCACGCCGCCTTCAGGGCGCCATCCGCTCTCTGCCCGTCGGCCGTCACGTGCGCTTCGGCGTCCACATTGCAGCCCTCGTGCTTGGATTGGAGCTTGATGTCGAGGCGGCGCGGGGCACCCGCGTCGCTCAGTGCCCTCCATGCGTGCGTGGCGGTGGCGTCGGCAGCGAGCGTCCCGGCGCGTGCTCGGAGCTTCCCATCGGCCGTGAGCGCGTCGGTCCCACTCCGCATGGACACCTTGCCCGCCAGCTCCCCGCCCTTGCGGCTGCCCGAGGCTTCCATGACGGCGTCGCGCGGCACGCCCGCTCGCACGAGGCCTTCGATGCCGTTGCTCAGCCGACCTCGGACCTCGTAGCTGCCGTCGGCACACTTGCCGGAGGCCTCCAGTGCCAGCGCCTTCCCGTCCAGCGTGAGGTGGGCGTCGCCCTTGCTGTTGCAGCTGGTGGGCTGCACCGAGCCCTTGATCTGCAGCTTCCCGGGCAGCCCCCGGGCCTTCAGGCACGGCTGCGTCGATGCCCAGTCCCATTGGATCTTCTCTCCCAGGCGCAGCTCCCCCTTCCCCGAGGCCACGCAGTCGTCAGCCGTCAGGTCGATGGAGGCCCGGTGCCGTCCCCCGCCCGGAGCCGCGTACTCAGCCATGAGCGATGCCGCGGAGGGAACGCCGGCACCGGAGAGCGCGGCGACGTTGTGCGCCAGCTTGGCTGTCACTGAGTGCTCCTCCGGGCGGTCGTAGCAGCCCTCGAGCCGTGCGCGGTCGTCGTCGTACAGCACGCTCAGCAGGCCGCACCGCCGGCCCCCGGCCTGCCGCCGGCCTCGTGAACCCCCCCCGCCGCCTCGCTCCGGCCTGCCGGCTCCCAGCTGCGCCAGCACCTCCGCCTTCTTGGGCCACGGCAGCTGCAGGCCGTGGTCGCTTTTGAACCTCGCTTCTTTCCTGTCGGGCTCGAGGGTGACGGCGAGCGATGCTGCGCCCTTGCGGCCGTCCAGAGAGGCAAAGCCGCGTCCCTCGTAACGGCCCTTCCCGACTGTGCCGGCGAGCGTCAGCACGCCGTTACGGGGCACGCCGCGTCTCTGTAGCGCCTCATAGTTGTGCTTGCTGCGGACGCGTAGGCTCCCCGTCGTAGCCGCCGCCCGTGCATCCCCGCCGCCCTTGGCCTGCAGGAAGAAGCGCTTGGAGTCCACCTTGGAGACGACCTTGGCGTCGAGCTTGCCGCCCGCTAGCCGCGCGGTGCCGGTGACGTCAGCGGAACGGGGGAAGCTCGCTGGTACCTTGAGGTCGTGCTTCAGCTTGAGTCTGAGCGAGTAGCCGGGCTCCTTGGCGGCGCGCGCATTCCTGCGGGAGCCCTTCCGCGCCACCGCCGCGGCCACCCCCGCGGCCGCATCGATGCTGGCATTGAGCGAGCGGCCGTCGAACGACACCAGGACGCTAGCGCTCGCGCCACCGTCGACCTTCCGCGCCAACAACTCCGCCGCAGCCTTGGCGGGCGCCCCCAGGTCGCGCAGGAGCGGCAGCTGCTGCTCGCCGCTGCACAGCATGCTCAGCCGCCCCCCGCCGTGCTTCTCACTGCACTTGAGCTGCACGGGCGCGTTGCCCACGCGCCCCACGCACTGCCCCGACGCTGCGCCGGCCTGCAGCTCCCCCTTGCAGCTCACCTGCGTGGAGCAACAATAACAACAGCATTAGGAGCATCGTTTGCGGCTGTTGCCACAAATCTGGCTTTCGCCTCATGAAGCGAGTTGTAATTACTGGCAAAGCATAGTACGGTCTGATCTGCGGGCGCGACCGGCCCCCTTCCCCTCCCCCCGCCCCCGGGACCTCCCCCACCTTGGCGGCGCGAGGCATGGCACGCGCCAGCAGCTCCACGTTGTGCTGGACGTCGGCGCTCAGCTGGCCCGAGCGCAAGGGCCCGCGCCGCTCGCCCGTGGCGTTCAACCGCGCGGAAACGCTCGACTTGTCCCAGTTGCCCGACAGGCCCAGCCGGTACAGGCCCGTGTCCATCTGCACGGCAGGGAACCACGACATCAGCAGCGGTGGCGGTGACAACAACGGCAGTAGTAGCAGCAGCGGCAGCTCAGTGACCAACGCATTCCGCCGGCCGCGGTCCACCTCGACTGGTATGCATGAGGTCGTGCGTTTGATCCCGACCCTGCTGCTGTATATTTGGAGTTTGTGGGATCTCTCTCGCCGTGGTCGCGTGCATTTTTCTTCGGGTCCTCAGGTATTTCCCTCCACATTTAGAATCAACATCACCACGCGTTTAGAGTAGTTGGCTGCTGCTATAAATTTCCCCACGATGATGAGACACTTCTGTTGAGCTTCAATTTGTTATAGCCAGGTCGCTTATCAAAAAAAGGGCCACGTAGCTCAATGGGACTTACCTAGCAAAAGTTAAAGTATAAAGGATAATAATAATAAAATAAAACACCTTGAGGAAGGCGACGGCCTGCGCGCTGGCTGGCATGCCGAGCTGCGCCAGCCTCTTCTCCTGGTGCTGCGCCGAGGCCAGCAGCCGGTACTCCACGCTGCCGTGCAGCACGCGCAGCCCCGTGCTGGCGTTGGCGCGCTTCCCGTCGTAGCGGACGTCCACACTGAGCACGCGGTCACGCTCCGGGTGGTCTAGCGTGACGAGGAGGCGGCCGTCTGCCGGGACGCCTGGTGGGTGTGCGACGGGGGGGGGGGGGGGGGGGTCGCTCACCACCAATGCCATCGCCACCTCCTCCATCTCACCACCACACCACAACCTCCATCTCACCACCACTGCCAACACCACCTCCTCCATCTCACCACCACTGCCACCACCACCTCCTCCATCTCACCGAAACTGCCACAACTACCTCCTTTTCACCACCACCTCCTCCATCTCACCACCACATCCTCCATCTCACCACCACTGCCACCACCTCCTCCATCTCACCACCACCTCATCCATCTCACCGCCACCACCACCTCCGCCATCTCACCGCCACCACCAACTCCTCCATCTCACCACCACCTCATCCATCTCACCGCCACCACCACCTCTTCCATCTCACAACCACCGCCACCACCACCTCATCCATCTCACCACCACCACCTCCGCCATCTCACCACCACTGTCACCACCACCTCTTCCATCTCAACCACCGCCACCACCACCTCCTCCATCTCACCACCACCGCCACCACCACCACCTCCTCCATCTCACCACCACCGCCACAAGCTCACCGCAACTCTTATCAGCTCAACACTGCCATCTCCACCATCATCGCAACCTCCACTCCGCACAACCATCACCACCACCGCCTCACCGCAACCACCACACCAACACCACCGCACCACCGCGTGGCACTCACCGGCCCTGCCGAGCGACGGGACGCTGTGCCGCAGCTTGCCGCTCAGCTCCTTGCGCTGGGGCTTGTTGTCGAGGGCGAGGTCGAGGCAGGCGGACTTGTCGTCCGTCTTGAGGCAGGCCTGCGCCGCCACCTCGGCGCCCTGGGCCTGCAGCTTCGCGCGCAGCTGAGCGGCGCGCGGCAGCGCCAGGCCGGCGTCGTGGCGCAGGCGACCCTCCAGCTGCAGCAGCGTGGCCGCTCTGCCGAAAGTGTTGTCGTTCTTGAAGTCCACCTCGAGCCACGACTTGTCCAGCACCAGCTTGGCGCTGCCTGCGGGGGGCGTAGCGGCGCAACGCAACGCGGCGGCGAAGCACCACACGCGGTGTGAGGCACAGGTGGTGGCGAGGCCGGTGAGTGTTGGTGTGGCCGGACCCAGCGGTGAGGCAGACTGTCTGTTGTGGTATTGCTGTGAGGTGGTGGTGGTGGTGGGCGGCGGCGGCGGCGGCGAGTTTGACGCGGGATGATGGTGGTGGTGAGTTTGACGCGGGGTGACGGTGGTGGTTTTTAACACGTGTTTTAGTGGTCAATTAGTGGCCTTAACGTGGCCTTCAAGTGCACATAGCCTGGCACAAGCGCCACTCAGTGGCGAATTATTGTTGGTGGTGGTGATAGTGGTGATGATAGTGATGGAAATGATCATGGAGGTGATGATAGTGGTGATGATGATGCTGATGATGATAGTGATGATGGCGATGGTGGTGGTGGTGGTGATGATAGTGATGGCAGTTGCGGTGTGGTTGCCCAGGCCTCCCCCCCCCCATCCCCTCACCCTCGTGATCCTCGTTGCGCTTGGTGAGCGACGCCTGGAGCTTCGCGGGCGACGGCAGCGAGCGCCAGCGCCGCACGGCGTGCCGCAGCTCGGCGGACAGCGCCAGCGTGGACGAGGGGTTCCCCGAGACGAGCAACAGTGCCAGGTCGACGGCGGCGTCCGATCCGTCCGCGCCGGCGCCCCCGCTCGCCTTCATCCTGCGCGCACGCACGGACAAAGACAAAAATCCCCCCGTGTAGCCTTAACGGACCGTTGGGGCAAGTGTCGTTAGCGAGCGCCTATGAAAGGCCGGCACGGCACACGAGGGGGTGGGTGGCCAGCACCGCGCCCGGCCGCCTTTGTCTCCCAAGCGGTGACATTTACGCATTGCACCAGGTGAGTCGACCTACACACCCACACGCTAAGACAAAGATCCCCCGTATAGCCTTGACAGACTATTGGGGTATATATAGTGCTGCTAGCGAGCACCAACGAAGGCCGCACGGCACACGAGGGGGTGGGTGGCCAGCACACTTACATATTCGCACACCGGCACACCGCCACACACACACGGGAGCGCTCGCGAGGGCACACGTACTTGTTGGGCTCGCACGACGCGGAGAGGTGGGCGTGGGTGGCGCGGGGCAGCGCGTCGAAGAAGGCCTGCCGCATCTCGGCCCGGACGCTCCCATCCCCGCAGCCCTGCTTGCGCCGGCCGGTCGCGTCCAGCGCCAGCCAGCCGCGCTCCTTGCCGTCGGAGCGCACGAGCGCCAAGGCGTTCACCCCATCGCCCTGACGCTTCGCCTGCACGCAGGCCTGCGGGGAGGGCGAAAGGCACGAACCGCGCTCACGGGCACGCACTCACGAGTACGCACCACGCACCGCGCTCACACACCGCACTCACGCACCACGCTCACACACCGTGCTCACGCACCACGCTCACACACCGCACTCACGCACCACGCTCACACACCGCACTCACGTACCGCACTCACGCACCACGCTCACACACCGCACTCACGCACCGCGCTCACGCACCACGCTCACGCACCGCATTCACGCACCACGCTCACACACCACACTCACACACCGCACTCACGCACCACGCTCACGCACCACGCTCATGCACCGCATACACGAGCACGCACCGCACTCAAGCACCGCACTCACCCACCACGTTCACGAGCACGCACCGCACTCAAGACACCACACAACCAGTCCCCCTCCTTAACCTCCTTTCGTTGCTCTCTCCATCGCCCATTCCCTTCCCTCCCCTCGGCCCCTCCACTCCATCCCCTCCCTCCCCTATGGCCCTTCCGTGACCCCCGTGTACCCTCCGTCACGGTCACCCATTCCTCGGTCCTTGCACGCCCCTGCCATCCGAATCACTCGATTGTTGTTCGCGCTTTACAAACCGTGTGAAGCGCACGTTGAGCTGTGGGTCACTCTATAAAAGTTAAATAAGATGCAGAGCGCACCATGCGGATGGAACCACATCAATGCCGGATTAAGCTCGTGCGGAGCCTGTAGCATTATGTTATGAAGGGGCACTAAGTAAAAAAAAACGTAAACATTAAAACACAAAATGTTTACTTGCATAGGAAAGTAATTGTATTTTTTAATTTGCTATACGGCCAGATAATATGAAAAATCGCTAACCTTAAACACCCAGTCGATCATAAAAGTGGAAGGCGGTATAGTACTATAGTAATAGAGCAAGTGCAGAATCACTGAACTGGAATTGATAGCTTGAAAGCGTTTAGCGCGGGGCCCCTGAAAGTGCGGGGCCCGTAGCATATGTAGCTACTACGACATGTGCAGTAGCTACTACACATGTAGTAGCTACTACACATGTAGTAGCTACTACACATGTAGCTACTACACATGTAGCTACATGTGTAGTAGCTATTACGCATGTAGTAGCTACTACACGTGTAGCTACTTGTGCTACGAGGATAATCCGACACTGAATCACCTGGTGGACACCAAAGACAAAGACCCCCCGAATAGCCTGAACAGTTGGGGCAAGTGCTGTTAGCGAGTAGCATCAATGAAGATATTCTTGGTTCTTTCGGTAAAGTCACGTAGAATTTTATTGTTTTATATTTGTATTATTTTATTGTTTCCCTTCTACGTGACTTTACCGAAAGAACCAAGAATATGAATCCCTGCAGTCACGAAAGCTTTAAATCAAAATCTATGAAGATGTTTAACGCATATGCAAAAAAAGACAAAGATCCCCCGTATAGCCTGTAACAGACCGTAGGGGCAAGTGCTGTTAGCGAGTAGCATCTATGAAGATGTTTAACACACGCAAAAAAGACAAAGGTCCCCCGTATAGCCTGTAACAGACTGTAGGGACAAGTGCTGTTAGCGAGCACCTATGAAGGCTGGCACGGCACACGAGGGGGTGGGTGGCCAGCACCACGCCCGGCGGCCTTCGTCTCCCCAGTGGCGATGTTTACTACACACCGCACCGAGTACTCATTTGAGGCTGAGTCGACCTAGTGGGGGAGCGTTTGCGAGGAGCGTGCCTGCAAGGAGCGGGCGGGGAGCGAGCCGTAGGGGTGGCTGAGCTGCACGCAGGCGGCCAGCTGGGTCCACGAGCCGTTCGCGTGCACCTCCACCTGGCACGGAGCACACGGCAAAGGCAAAAATCCCCCGTGAAGCCTTAACTCGCTGTTGGGGCAAGTGCTGTTAGGAGCGAGTAGCAGCGCCGGTGAAGGCCGGCGCTGTAGCACACGAGGGGGTCGGTCGCCAGCTCTAGCCACGACATTGCCGCTCCCCACAATACGATAAGCAACACATGATGTGTCGCACAAGTGCTGGTGAGGCCGGTGAGTGGTGGTGAGGCCGGGGAGTGGTGGTCAGGCCGGGGAGTGGTGGTGAGGCCGGTCAGAGGTGGTGAGGCTGATGGGGGGGCGGCACCGTGACCCGACCGCCAGAATGTCACAACCACCACAACAGTGACGGTTGTGGTGCTTGCAGCGGTTGCAGCGGTTGCGGCGGTTGTGGCGGTTGCGGTGGTTGTGGCGGTTGTGGAGGTTGCGGTGGTTGTGGTGGATGCGGCAGTTGCGGTGGTTGCTGTGGTTGCGGTGGTTGCGGTGGTTGCTGCGGTTGCTGCGGCCGCTCACCTTGCTCACGTCCTTCTTGTCCAGCGTGAGCTTCCCCGCGGCGCCGTAGTTGAAGTCCAGGCCCTTGCCGTCCACGGAGAAAACCTCCGCCTTGAGCTCGGCAGCGCCAGGGACCTTCACCTGCACCGGCACACGGGGGGCAGGGTGAAGGGGGCGGGGGGCAGGATGAAGGGGGCGGGGGGCAGGGTGAAGGGGTGAGGGTGAAGGGGGCGGGGGGCAGGGTGAAGGGGTGAGGGTGAAGGGGGTGGGGGGCAGGGTGAAGGGGGTGGGGGGCAGGGTCAAGGGGGCGGGGGGCAGGGTCAAGGGGGTGGGGGTGAAGGGGTGGGGGAGGGCTGAGTGAAGTGTGCAGGGTGTATATCCACATGAAGCGGTGAGTGCCGGTGTGCAGCGAGTAGAGTTGGTAAGTGGCGAGCGACGGTGGAGTGATGGTCCATCGGCGAGCGGTGGTGAGCGGCGGCACCTTGAAGGAGTGGCTGGCGCTGAGCTCCAGCTCGTGCCTCCAGCTGGCGAAAGTTCCCTGGTAGCGCCCGCTCAGCTTGGCCTGCCCCGTGTCCCCCAGGTTCAGCTTCCCGCTGCCCGAGTACTTATACTGCACGGCACGGGCACAGCACGCGCACTCATGCATTGCACGTACACGCGCTACACCGAGATCTCGCCATAGAGCCCTTTTGGACTATAACAATAGGTTGTCTGCCCTTTAAGGCAATACAACGGTTTGTGTAAAGATGTTATAACAGCAAACAGGAAGGAAAGCTGTCACTGCATGAACCAGGCGGTACTTCATGAGGCGTCCCTTGCCAGTACCAAAATATACTAATAGGGATTTTTCCCCTCTTCTTTGGTTCTTTCGGTAAAGTCACGTAGAATGAGAATAAAATAAGACGAAATTATCACGACGTTTCGGCCACAACACAAGTAGCCTTCTTCAGGTGAAGGAACAAAACTGTCGGGACGACAGTTTCAATGAAGCGCTGTCGTCCTGACAGTTTTGTTCCTTCACCTGAAGAAGGCTACTTGTGTTGTGGCCGAAACGTCGTGAGAATTTTATTGTCTCATTTGATTTTATTATTTTATTCTCATTCTACGTGACTTTACCAAAAGAACCAAAGAAGAGGGTTTTTCCCCTTTTTTCTGGCAACAAAACTGACACCTTTTGCAAGGAATCATGTTAACATTAACCACAATACTTGCAGTCAAATGCAAACAAAAAACAGTACTCTGATAATGTATGCATTGTCCTTGCAACTGATTGGTCCACACCGGAGACAGCTTTTCTTAGAGCCTAGTCTCATATGGTGTTCGACCAGATGACGCCAAAAGGCGAACAGGTTTTTTTTTTTTGCATTTGACTGCAAGTATTGTGGTTAATGTTAACATGATCCCTTGCAAAAGGTGTCAGTTTTGTTGCCAGTAAAAAGGGGAAAAATCCTATTAGCAGACCGTACCTGTGGTGAACATGCAAACAAGCTACAATGCTCTAGTAGTATATGATGATGGCACTGTCTTTGAAACGTATTGGTCCACACCAGAGACGGCTTTCTTTAGAGCCTCGTCTCAAACGGTGTTAGACCAGAGGACAACGCAAAAAAGGTGAACAGCACAAAGACAACGCTACTGTCAGCTAGGGGTGAGCAGACACATCACGGGGCCTCCCTTCCCTTGCCAGCATCCAAATATAAGAATAGGTTTTTACCCTTTCTGGCAATAAAACAGTTTGTGTTAAGATTTTAACACACCAAACTGAAACCTTGTGCAAGGAATACACTGGTAATATATGCATTGTCTTTGAAACTGATTGGTCCACACTGGACAGCTTTCTCTAGAGTTTCAAAGACAATGCCATCATCATATACTATCATGTTCACCACGAGTCTGTGTGGCTAACGCAGACATGATCTCTTGCAAAAGGTTTCTGTTTGGTGTTTTAACATCTTAACACAAACTTTCATTGCCAGAAAGGGTAAAACCTATTCTTAAATGTTGATGCTGGCAAGGGAGGTCCCGTGATGATATCGCCTTAGACTTTTTTTATTTGTTTCCCTTCAACGTGACTTTACCGAAAGAACCAAGAATATATATCGCCTTAGACTGTTGGGACAAGTGCTGTATACTCTTTGGTTCTTTCGGTAAAGTCACGTAGGTATAAAATAAATTGAATTAAATCACGACGTGTGCTGTGGTTGTTCCACCTGATGACGGGCACTTGTGTTGCGCCCGAAACGTCGTAATTTATTTTATTTTCTACCTACGTGACGTTACCGAAAGAACCAAAGAGTATGGATCCCTGCAGTCACGAAAACTTCAAATCTACAAGTGCTGTGAGCAATTGGCACCGATGGAGGCCGGCACAGCACGCCAAGGGGTGGGTGGCCAGCACCACGCCCGCAGCGCTGATGTCTAGGTAATAATTTAAGGCTGAGTCGACCCAGGGGAAAGCCAAGACCAGTTCAGATATGCATCACCGATGCTGGACGTGAGCGGTAATCGAACTAAGGTCAACGGATTCACAACGCAGTGTGCTAACCGCTGCCCTCCCGCGTACACGCACCGCACGCACAGTGAGACCGTGACACAGGCGGTGGTGGCACATCCGGTGACACGGGCGGTGACATGGGCGGTGACACGGGCGGTGACATGGGTGGTGACACGGGCGGTGACAGGGGCGGTGACGCAGGCGGTGACACGGGCGGTGACACGGGCGGTGACACGCCCGGTGACATGGGTGGTGACACGGCCGGTGACACGGGCGGTGACACGGGTGGTGACATGGGCGGTGACATGGGTGGTGACGCAGGCGGTGACACGGGCAGTAAAACGGGCGGTGACACGGGTGGTTACACGGGCGGTGACACGGGCGGCGACACGGGCGGTGACACGGGCGGCGACACGGGCGGTGACACGGGTGGTTACACGGGCGGTGACACGGGTGGTGATACGGGCGGTGACACGGATGGTGACACGGGTGGTGACACGGGTGGTGACACGGGTGGTGACACAGATGGTGATACGGTCGGTGACACGGGCGGTGACATGGGTGGTGACACGGGCGGTGACACGGGCGGTGACACGGGCGGCGATACGGTCGGTGACCCCGGCGTGTGGCCGTGAGTGAGGCCGGCGGCCACAGCAGGGGCTGACCGGGCCGTCGCGTTGGCCCTTGAGGCAGAGCTCGGCCGCCTTTGGCAACAGACGGAGGTCGTACGGCTGCTTGAGACTCACGCAGGCCTGCACACGGGGACAAGGGGACATGGATAGACATGTACACGGGGACACGGAGACACAGGGACACAAGCACACAGGAATATGGGTCGACACGTACATAGCAACACGGGAGATAGGGACATGGAGGCCGGAGGAGACACGGAGACACAAAGACAAACAACACAAGCCATTGCACATTGCACCTGCGAGTCTCACTTTGGCAGGGTGGTTCATGGCTTGGCGTGGTGGTGACAGAGTGTTGCAGGGCGGTGCAGGGTGTTACGTGGTGGTTAGCGGGCGGCGCAGGGCGCCGCCGGCGGGGTGACGGCGTGGTGGTGGGGTAACGGCACCTCGGGGCTGTCGAGCTCCGTGCCGACGGAGGCGCGCGCCAGCACCGTGTCGCGCTTGTCCAGCGTGGCCGCCACCTCGGCAGCGTAGCGCCGCGCTCGCCCCCCCCGCGGAGCGCCGGGCTCGCCGCTCGGCCGACAGCGACGCCTGCAGCAGCAGGTCTCGCGGGGCGCGGAACGGGTGCCTGGCACGAAGACGACAATGATCACCCACCCTACCCCTACCCCCCTTCCCCACAGTGTAGCCACTGACAGACAGTCGTGGGGGGCGAGCGCTGCGAGCGAGCAGCGCCTGTGACGAGCGGCGGTGGGCGGCCGGGGCCACGTGCGCGCGCAACGCCCCGTAACTCACCACACGGTGCCTCACCCCTCGCCGCGCCTCACCGCACGGCTCACCACGCACACTCACACGGCGCCCCACAACTCAGCGCGCCTCACCACGGCGCCCCCTCGGCGCTCACCGCACGTGCAGTGACACTCGCCCGCGCTCCTCCCCGCGCTCCAGCGACGCCGCGAGCTGCACGGCGCGGGCGGCGCCCCCCCTGTCGCGCCACGCGCAGCCCAGCGTCACGTTCTGCACCGGCTTCTGCTTGAGCGGAGTTGGCGGCGGGGGGCGGGGGGGTCGGGAAGAGACACGTGGCACCGTCTCGCGCCTGCGAGCGCGTCCGTACACGCGCGTGCCCGTTACGTGCGCTCTGCGTGTCCGCGTATCCCTGCGCATCTTGCCTGTCCCGAGTTGGTGTGTCCGTGTGTTGTCTGTGCGTGTCCGTGTGCGCCCGTCCGTGATCAATGTGCGTCCGTGTGTAGCCGTGTGTGTGTGTGTCCGTGTGTGCCCATGTGCACCCGTGTGTCTCCTTATGCGTATCCGCGTGTTTGTGTGTCCATGAGTGCCCGTGTGTGTCCTTGTATTCCCACGTGTGTCTGTGTCCCTGTGTATCCCGATGGAGTGACATCGCTGGATGTCACCATGCTGTAAGTGCAGTGCCGGCCCTACAGGGCACGGTGTGTGGGTGCCGACCTAAGGGGAAGTTCGTGTGAGGCCATGGCACTCTGGTTGACCCGGGAGGACACGTAACCGGTTAAGATGACAGAGGGGCCCCCAAGAGGGGGCTAGGGGGGTCACGTGATTGAGACCCAGGCACTTCCCGATGGTTCTGGAAGGGGGACGTGGCCAAGGGTGGAGCCGGCCACCCCGCAGAGAATATAGGGACCGGGGTTATTCATCTCGGGAAGAACCCCTTCGTCTACGATCTTTCATCTACGATTCTTCCAGCACGTGGACCCGGGCAGATGCTGTTGGTCCCGGGTCCGTAGTAACAGTTACGTGGTACCTAGTGTAGTGACTAGTGTAGTAGCTAGTGGTGTAGCTAGTGTAGTAGCTAGTGTAGTAACTAATGTAGTGACTAGTGTAGTAACTAGTGTAGTAGCTAGTGTAGTAGCTAGTGTAGTAGCTAGTGTAGTAACTAGCGCAGTAACTAGTGTAGTAACTAGTGCAGTAACTAGTGTAGTAGCTAGTGTAGTAGCAGTGTAGTAACTAGTGTAGTAACTAGTGTAGTAGCTAGTGTAGTAGCTAGTGTAGTAACTAGTGTAGTTAGCCAGGTGGTCACCACCCGAGGTTGTTATTCTGTTAAGGGGGAGTTACCCCACGTGTCGTAACTCAGTTGAACCCACTACACCTGTATATCCCTGTGTGTACCTGTGTATCTATACCCCCCCCCCCCCGTGTGTGTACCCGTGTGTGTGTGTGCGCGTGGATGAGACCTCCTCGTCCCAGCTGCCGGTGACGTTGGCGTCGCCGCCCGGGTACTGCAGGTGCAGGCGGCCGCGCTTGCCCCCTTTCTTCTCCTCCAGCAGGAGGTCAGCCGCCAGTGGCCCCGTGTACGGCCACTGCAGCTCGTTGTGGCTCGTGAAGGAGCGCTGCGGCCTCACCCGCGAGCTCGACAGCACCTGCCGGCGGCGGGGACATCGCGGCACCGTCAGCACCTCGCTGGCGCGCCCTCGGTGCCCGCTGGTGATCTCAGTGCCTGCTGGTGCCCTCTGGACCCGCAGGCGCTCCAAGTGCCACCAGCTGATGCTCACCGTGCCTACCAATGCTCTCAGAGGTCGCTAGCGAATCCGCTGGTGCCCAAAGTGTCCGTCAGTTCTCCCAGCTTGCAGCCACGGGAGCACCCAGTGATTAAGAAAGGGGAGGAGATTCATTCCCGTTGGCGTTTCAGTTGGCAGAGCATCACCAATGGATGCCCGTTAGTGGAGGCTCACTAGCTGAGGCTCGTTAGCTTAAGCTCATTAGGGTAACCTTGCTAGGGTAGGCTCGTCAGCGGAGGCTCGCGAGCTAAGGCTTGCAAGCAGAGGCTCGTTAAGGTAGGCTCACTAGCAGATAATCGTTAGGGTAAGCTCGTTAGCGGAGATTCACTAGTGGAGGCTCGTTAGCAGAGGCTCGTTAGCGGAGATTCACTAGTGGAGGCTCGTAAGCAGAGGCTCGATAGTGGAGTCTCGTTAGCAGAGGCTCGCTAGCGGAGTCTCGCTAGCAGAGGCTCGCTAGCAGAGGATCGTTAGGGTAAGCTCATTAGCAGAGGCTCGCTAGTGGAGTCTCGTTAGCAGAGGCTCGCTAGTGGAGTCTCGTTAGCAGAGGCTCGTTAGCAGAGGCTCGCTAATGGAGTCTCGCTAGCAGAGGATCGTTAGCAGAGGCTCGCTAGTGGAGTCTCGTTAGCAGAGGCTCGCTAGCAAAGGATCGTTAGCAGAGGCTCGCTAGTGGAGTCTCGTTAGCAGAGGCTCGTTAGCAGAGGATCGTTAGCGCCGCACCTTCAGCACAGTGCCCTCGGGCCCCGACAGCTGCACGAGCAGCTCCTTGAGCTGCTCAGCGTTCTTGAGCGTGGCCTCCAGGACGTGCTGCGGGCCCGGCGGAGCACGGGCCGAGCGGGCCGAGCGCCCGGCGCCGTCCGTCGCCAGCGTGGATCGCGTAACGAACGAGCGGCGCTCGGGCTGACGCAGCTCGTGCTCGACGCGTGCGCGCAGCCACGGCGAGTCGACCGCCACGGAGCCTGCACGCTCAGCACGCAGCAGAGAGACGGCTGCGGGCGCCCCTCCCGTGTGTCGCCTGTCGCAGGGCGAGTGGCGCCCGCGGGGAAGAGCGGCACAGCGCACGCGGGGGGCGGTTGCGGCCAACGCTCGCTACGGCCGGCCGCCTTTTGTCTCCCACCGGAGCTGGCGTTTACGCACCGCGCCAGGTACTCATTCGAGGCCAGGTCGACCCAGGAGTGGTCCAGGGCCGGTGCAGATGATCGTCGCTGATGTTGGCCGTGGGCGCGAATCACACCGCGGGGTGGCCGGTTTCATGGCGTGGCGCGCTAACCACTGCGCCACCGCTCCCCGCTCTCAACGTTATCGGCGACACGAGACCCGGAGTCATGGTGATGCCCACAAGGCACGCCCTGTCAGTGTGTCACTGGTGAGGCCCACGGTGGCACCAGGCGGCTCAACACGGTTGCGGTGTCACTACGACATGCGCGGTGTCACCGAGCCACACACGAGAGTGTGTGCGTGCGTGCGACGCGCCATGACAGCCGCGCCGGTGCTCACCGTCCCAGGCCCAGAGTTGTGGGCTGGACGCGTCCTTCCAGAGCAGCTGCGCGGCAAGCAGCTGGCGCGCGTTGTTGGAGGCGCGAACGGAGGTGTTGCGTGAGTAGCTCCCGCGCAGCGAGTGCACGTGGCTCAGCGCCGCCTCCGCGTCCACCTTGTGCGCCGGCAGCTCGGCCTTCCACTGCAGCGACAGACCCCACCCCCGCCCCCAACCGCGGTTAACCGTGGCGAGAAACTGGCGCCGATTCCCCGCCGGCGACGCTCGTGCGGTCGGTCGGTCGGTTTGACCCTTTGCCCCTGGAGAAAGGGGTCGCGTTGACGGCTTCGTGCCACCAAGAGGCTTGGGGGGGAACGAACTATCCGAATCGCTGACGCCGGCCTTTAGCAGGCAGTGCGGGTCAATGAGACTCGCATATTGCGGTGTGCCGTGGCGTGCTGCGGTGTGGCGTGGAGCGGTGTGGAGTGGTGCGGCGTGGAGTGGTGTGGCGTGGGGTGGTGTGTTACGCTATGCTCTGGCGTGCCACGCTGCGCCGTGGCGAACCGTGCCGTGCCGCGGTGCGGCGCGTGCGGCGCGAGCACCTTCACCAAGTACTTGATGCTGCCGCCGTCGGACTTGTCGCTGAAGTCCTGCTCCAGCAGCAGCCGCTTCTTGTTGGACTTCAGCTGCCACTCGGTGCCGTAGCTGACCTGCAGGCGCGAGCGCGCGCTCGCTCCCTGGGGCCGTGGTCCACGCTCAGCTGCACCGTGCGGGGAGAGGGGGGGGGGCGGTCACGGGGAGAGGGGCAGAGAGGGGAGCCACGGGGAGAGGGGGCGGTCACCGGGAGAGCGAAGATGGCGGCCAGACGAATAGAGGAGACAGGGGCATCGTGGTGTGTGGCATGGGGACGGCACCTCCACGGCTCCACATCGAGAGTCCACCACCAACTCCACCACGTCCAGCACCAGCCCACGTGGCCCACGTCCACTGCCCCAACCCTCCCTGGGGTGTGCCAGCGGCTGAGCCGGTAGGGGTAGGCGGGTGGGCGCACCGGGAGGGTGGGTGCGAGCGTGGGTACCTTGTGAGCGAGCGCCGGGAACTGGGAGCAGGCGAGCTGGTGCGTCGCCTCCAGCGCGGGTTGCGCTCCCAGGCGGAGCGCCTGGCTCGTGCCGCACTCGTGCGGCAGCGCCGCCGCCTCCCCTGCACGCGGTCGCCAGGGCGGGGGGGGACACGCGGCGCGTTAGTGCCACGGCGCGCCATACGGCACCGCATCGCGGACAGGCACCCTGGTGAGAAGTGTGCGGTGGTGCTGGAAGCGGAGCGCTGGCGCAAGGAAGGCGGTGGCACGGAGGGCCCGCCGGTGGCAGGAGGAGGGGAAGGAGGAGGAGGATGCGGTAAGCAAGCGACGAGGAGCGGCGAGCGAGCGAGTGGGACTCACCGCGCACGCCGTACTTCAGGCTCAGCGCCGTCGCCCAGTTGCGGTCGCGCACCTGCACGGAGCCCGAGGCCTTCGCGCCGACCACTCGCGGCACCAGCAGCTGGATCTCCCCCGCGTAGCGGCCGGCCCCTTCGGCCTGCCGGCCCGGCCGCCCCCCGGCGGCCTTCTGCAGGCTCACTGCGGAGGGGCGCGGAGGTCACGGGGGTCGGAACACGACGGGATTTACAAGTGGCGGGAGGGGGGGAGCGGGCGGTGGGGAGCGCCGTCTCTCACCCGCCAGCGTGGCCGTGTCGCTCAGCAGGTTCTGGACGGCGCTGTGCAGCGTGACGGCGCGCCCCGGCTCGAAGGTGCCGTTGGCCGAGGCGAGGACCGGCGGCCCCGACGGAGACACCTTCGCCTCGACGAGAGCGCGGAAACGACGCTCCGCGCCGGACGGACGCTCCTCCCACAGGCCCTGCGCGCGGCACCGGCACGGGGACCGTCGAGGAGTCATCAGGGAGCCACCGTGGAGGGAGTGATCACAGCGTCGTCACGGTAACTATCGCGGAGCCGTCGCAGCGCCATGACGGCACCACCGTGGAGCAGTCATTTTCATCGCCACCATTATGTGTGCACGTGTGTGCATTGAACTTCTTTCACACCGCACGTAGCCAACCGTGCTCATCAGAGGTGCAGTGCTGAGTCTATGGGCAGTGATGAGTGTATGGGCAGTGTTGAGTCTATGGGTAGTGTTGAGTGTATGGGCAGTGTTGAGTCTGTGGGCAGTGTTGAGTGTATGGGCAGTGTTGAGTCTATGGGCAATGTTGAGTCTATGGGTAGTGTTGAATGTATGGGTAGTGTTGAGTCTATGGGTAGTGTTGAGTCTACGGGGCAGTGTTGAGTCTATGGGTAGTGTTGAGTCTACGGGGCAGTGTTGAGTGTATGGGGTCGTGTTGAGTCTATGGGCAATGTTGAGTCTGTGGGCAGTGTTGAGTCTATGGGCAGTGTTGAGTCTTTGGGGTAGTGTTGAGTCTATGGGCAGTGTTGAGTCTTTGGGGTAGTGTTGAGTCTATGGGCAGTGTTGGGTGTATGGACAGTGTTGAGTCTATGGGGCAGTGTTGAGTCTATGGGCAGTGTTGAGTCTATGGGCAGTGTTGAGTGTTTGGGGTAGTGTTGAGTCTATGGGCAATGTTGAGTCTATGGGGCAGTGTTGAGTCTATGGGCAGTGTTGAGTCTATGGGCAGTGTTGAGTGTATGGGGTAGTGTTGAGTCTATGGGCAGTGTTGAGTCTATGGGTCAGTGTTGAGTCTATGGGCAGTGTTCAGTCTATGGGCAGTGTTGAGTCTATGGGCAATGTTGAGTCTATGGGCAGTGTTGAGTCTATGGGTAGTGGTGAGTCTATGGGCAGTGCTGAGTCTATGGTGCAGTGCTGAGTCTATGGTGCAGTGCTGAGTCTATGTACGTATGTTGGAACTTCTTTCGCACCGTACGTAGCCAACGGTTGCTCATCGACGGTGCGGGATGACGACGACGACGACGATCATCGTCATCGTCATCCCGGGCATCATCCCTGGTGAGCCTGCACCGCTCTGTGACCAGGACATCGAGGCGAATGGGTGGCGAGCGATTGAACCGCGATTGAGCGCCGCGACGGAGCGGGGGTTGTGGCGGGAGCCCTCCGCGGCACGGACGCCGGCCCCACCTTGACGAAGTACTCGTCCTTGTCGTCCACCGTCAGCTGCAGCACCGCGCGCTTCTTCTTCTCAAAGTCGTCCACGTCACCTGGTGGGGTGGGGTGGGTGCGGTGTGGTGGGGGGGGGCAGCAGTTCGGCCTCTGACGTCATTGACCACGGAACTTACGGTGACAACGACGCTGCCGCTACACGAGCACCACCCCCCCCTCCCCCCCCGCACCCCCTTCCCCGCCCCCTCCCCCGATCCCCTCCATCCCCCGCTCCCACCCCCGCCCCTTCCGTACCGCGCACTCGCAGGGAGCCGTGAGGGTGCACGATCTCGGCGCGGGCGCTCATCTCCTGGCAGCGGAGTTCCACGGTGGCAGCGAGGTCGCGGTTCACCCGGGAGCCCGGCGTCGCCACGCCGACGTGCAGCAGGGCCTTCTTGGGGCACGGCAGGTCGCCCTGCGGCGATCGCGACAGGCGACGCGGCCGCAGCCGCGGCGACCACTCCTCGGTAACCACGGCGACACAGCCGAAAGCACGACGATGCTCCTCGGTAACCACGGCGACACGGCTACAACGATGACGGAAGTCGTCGGTAACCACGGCGACACAGCCGAAACCACGACGATGCTCCTCGGTAACCACGGCGAACACGGCTACAACGATGACGGAAGTCGTCGGTAACCACGGCGACACAGCCGAAAGCACGACGACCGTCGTCGGAATCGCCACGCGGCGTGTGGCCTCCACGCACGCAGGGCACCGCACCGACCCCCGGGGGCCCGACGGCCGCTCCGTCAGCGCAGACCTCACCGGGACGCGCGGACGCGCGGGCACGCACCTGCCTCTCGACGTCGTACGTGGCCTCCAGCACGTACTGCCGGAGGCCCGGGTCGGTCTTCTGCAGCGACAGGGAGGCGAGGGCCGGGCCGGGCAGCGGGAACGCGGCGGAGCCCAGGCCCGGGAGCGGCAGGGAGAGCTCCGAGCAGAGCTGCCAGCCCAGCTGCTGTGACACTGATGGGGGAGTTTGGGGGCCACGGTGAGACGGGAGGCAGTGGCAAGGTTTGACAAGTGGCGTGGGGGGGGGATAAATGATGTTGTGATTGGGAGGGGGTGAGAGAGGGGCGGGGTGGGAGGGGGCAGTGGGAGAGAGAGGTGGGAGACGGGGGGGAGAGGGGGGTGGGAGAGGGGGGTTGGGAGAGGGGAGTGGGAGAGGGGGGTGGGAGAGGGGGGTGGGAGAGGGGGGTGGGAGAGGGGGGGTGGGAGAGGGGGGGTGGGAGAAGGGGGTGGGAGAGGGGGGTGGGAGAGGGGGGGTGGGAGAAGGCGGTGGGAGAGGGGGGTGGGAGAGGGGGGTGGGAGAGGGTTGGGAGGGCGGAGTGGGAGAGAGAGGTGGGAGACGGGGGGGTGGGAGAAGGGGGTTGGAGAGGGGGGTGGGAGAGGGGGGGTGGGAGAAGGCGGTGGGAGAGGGGGGTGGGAGAGGGGGGTGGGAGAGGGGGGTGGGAGAGGGGGGGGAGGGGGGACGACGTCTCGGACGTTGAGAAGGAAGTAAGCCCGCTTTTTGGCCGTGGTGTGGATGTTTTCTGGATGGTGCGGCTGTGGTTGTGGTAGTTGTGGTGTGTGTGTGACTCACGTGCGTTTCTGGAGCAGTGCGGTTTGGTTGTGGTGTGTGGTTGGGGCGCGGTGTTGTTGCAGCTTGGTTGCGGTGTTGTTGCGGTGTTGTTACGATGTGGTTGCGGTCTGGTTGAGGTGTGGTTGTGGTGTTGTTACGGTGTGGTTGTGGTGTGTGGTTGTGGTTGCGGTGTGGTTGAGGTGTGGTTGTGACCCACGCGCGTTGCTGGAGCAGTGCGGTGTGGTTGTGGTTGTGGTGTTGTTTCGGTGTGGTGTGTGGTTGTGGTTGCGGTGTGGTTGAGGTGTGGTTGTGACCCACGCGCGTTGCTGGAGCAGTGAGGTGTCGTTGGGGCCGAGCGCCGCGCCAGCCTCTTCATGGGTAACCGCTCCGCCCCACGCACCGCGTACAGCTTCGAGCTGACGCGGCACAACCACCACAACCACAACCGTGAACCACGACACATTTACAGCGCAGCCGAGATACCGACAGTCTCTGTACCACCCCCCGCCAACCTATGTGCTCCCGTGTCTCCTCATATTCGTATGCCCCACGATGTCTCTCTCCCCGTGTCTCCGTGTGTCGATGCCCATGTGTCCTCATGTCCCCGCGTCCCCGTGTCTCCATGCCCCTGTGTCCCCATGCCCCCGTGTCCCCATGCCCCTGTGTCCCCATGCCCCCGTGTCCCCGTGTCCCCATGCCCCCGTGTCCCCATACCCCCGTGTCCCCATGCCCCCGTGTCCCCATGCCCCCGTGTCCCCATGCCCGCGTGTCCCCATGCTCCCGTGTCCCCATGCCCCCATGCCCCTGTGTCCCCATACCCCTGTGGCCCCGTGTCCCCATGCCCCCGTGTCCCCATGCCCCTGTGTCCCCTTGTCCAAATGCCCCTGTGTCCCCGTGTCCCCGTGTCCCCGTGTCCCCATGCCCCCCGTGTCCCCGTGTCCCCATGCCCCGTGTCCCCATACCCCTGTGGCCCCGTGTCCCCATGCCCCCGTGTCCCCATGCCCCCGTGTCCCCATGCCCCTGTGTCTCTGTGTCCCCGTGTCCCCGTGTCCCCGTGTCCCCATGCCCCCGTGTCCCCATGCCCCCGTGTCCCCATGCCCCCGTGTCCCCATACCCCTGTGGCCCAGTGTCCCCATACCCCCGTGTCCCCATGCCCCCGTGTCCCCATGCCCCCGTGTCCCCATGCCCGCGTGTCCCCATGCTCCCGTGTCCCCATGCCCCCATGCCCCTGTGTCCCCATACCCCTGTGGCCCCGTGTCCCCATGCCCCCGTGTCCCCATGCCCCTGTGTCCCCTTGTCCAAATGCCCCTGTGTCCCCGTGTCCCCGTGTCCCCGTGTCCCCATGCCCCCGTGTCCCCGTGTCCCCATGCCCCGTGTCCCCATACCCCTGTGGCCCCGTGTCCCCATGCCCCCCGTGTCCCCATGCCCCCGTGTCCCCATGCCCCTGTGTCTCTGTGTCCCCGTGTCCCCGTGTCCCCGTGTCCCCATGCCCCCGTGTCCCCATGCCCCCGTGTCCCCATGCCCCCGTGTCCCCATACCCCTGTGGCCCAGTGTCCCCATGCCCCCGTGTCCCCATGCCCCCGTGTCCCCATGCCCCCGTGTCCCCATGCCCCCGTGTCTCCATGCCCCCGTGTCCCCGTGTCCCCATGCCCCCGTGTCCCCGTGTCTCCATGCCCCCGTGTCCCCATGCCCCTGTGTCCCCGTGTCCCCATGCCCCTGTGTCCCCATACCCCCGTGTCCCCGTGTCCCCATACCCCCGTGTCCCCATACCCCCGTGTCCCCGTGTCCCCATGCCCCTGTGTCCCCGTGTCCAAATGCCCCTTGTCTCCCCATGTCACACCCCCATGCCCCCTGTCTCCCGGCCCCCCCCCCCACCCGTGCCCACGCGGTGCCCTACCTGAGCGTGAAGACGTCCACGGAGTGCTCCGGCGTGTCCAGGTGAAGCCGCACGCTGCGCCCGTCCCGGATCCGCACGCCGACGTGAGCCAGCAGCGCGGAGCGAGCGGCGCCCTCCCACTCGAGACCGGCCGAGCCCAGCCGCCCCACCAGCCCGACGCGGGCGCTCACCTGCACAAGCGCGCTGCTTGCCGCGCAGCGCCAGCGGAGGGGTTGGCACAAGGCGCAGGTCACCACGCGACTAGCCCGCGGACAGCCTCGCTAGCGAGGAATGCGTTCCATCTGGGCGGGATCTCTCAAGAGGGTGAAGCTCGCGCGTAAAGTGATTCGGAAATGGATTGCGTGGCGATAGCTCGCAGCGCGGGTGGTGTGGTGGTGTGTAATGTTTCATGCTTAGTCGAACATGCCATAGCGCCAAGCTATGCCGCTCTTCTTTTCGCAAGCGAACCTGGCCGCAAATTGTGATAATAAGCGCCACCCAAATGGGCTTATTATCATCATCGCCGTGTGAAAATTTACGACGTCGACATTAAATGTGGAGGGAAAAGCCGGAGGACTTGGAGAAAAATCCACACGACCACGGAGAGAGAGAGAGAGAGACGCAAGCTCCTAATACACAGCAGGCGTAGTCAGTGTCAGGTTCGAACCCACGACCTCCTGTATACCAGGCGAGGTAGTTAACATCTCCTAGCCACCGTGATGATGATGAGAGAGAGACGCGCATACTCCAAATATGCAGCAGCAGCAGGCGTCAGGGCCGAGATCGAACCCATGACCTCCTGCACACGAGACGAGTTAGGCAACATCTCCTAAGCCCCGCGTTGCACGCCGTGGTGTTGCGCGTCGTACACGGGATTGATCTTGGCGTTGAAGTCGAGGCCGGGCCCGTGGCGCGGCCCCACGGCCCCCTGCAGCGACACGTCCACGGCAGAGGTGGCGTTGAGCGACAGGCCTAGGGGCAGCCCGATGGACGTGGGCAACCAAAGTCGCTCCGACGCCAGCAGCGCGTGGTGGCTCCAGCCCACGCGCTCCCCCTGCACGGACGGCACACGGCCGACGGTTTTCGCGTGAGCGCGGCGACTTCAGCGGCACGGGGCGCGTGCGCTCGCGCGTCATCGCACCGAAGAAGGGCGACGTCGCGGGCCTTCTCAGCCGATCTCAAGGCGGCCGCGTCTCCTTCCGTCGTTCCTTTGAGTCCGGATAACGGGGGCGAGCTCGCACCTTGGCTCGGCGGCGGGGGGGGTGGGGGGTGGGGGGGCGGCGTCGCGTCTCACCTTGAGCAGCCGCACCGCGGCGCCGACCACGTCGAACGAGGAGGAGGAGGAGGTGGACGAGGAGGAGGTGGACAAGGAGGGGTTGCGCAACCACTCGGCGCAGTCGGTGAAGGCCACTTCGCTGCCCAGCAGCCGCAGCGCCAGCGAGCAGGCCAGCTCCTGGGAGCGTCGCCCCGACACCTGCAGCGTACGGGTCGACCAGGGGTGACTCGACCAGGGGTGACTCAGCCAGGGGTGATTTGACCAGGGGCGACTCAGCCACGGCCGGTTCAGCCAGGGGCGACTCAGCCATGGGGCGACTCAGCCAGGGACGACTGATCCAGGGGTGATTTAGCCAGGGGCGACTCAGACAGGGGTGACTCAACAACCAGATATCCATCATAGAGGGCAGCCACGGAGCTGCCCTAGGGGGTCACAGCGCAGGGGTCACAGCGCGGGGGTCACAGTGCAGGGTCACAGCGCGGGGGTCACAGTGCAGGGTCACAGTGCGGGGGTCACAGCGCGGGGGTCACATTACGGGGGTCACAGCGCAGGGGTCACAGTGCAGGGTCACAGCGCGGAGGTCACAGTGCAGAGTCACAGCGCGGGGGTCACAGCGCAGGGGTCACAGTGCAGGGTCACAGCGCGGGGGTCACAGCGCGGGGGTCACAGTGCGGGGGTCACAGCGCGGGGGTCACAGCGCGGGGGTCACAGTGCGGGGGTCACAGCGCGGGGGTCACAGTGCAGGGTCACAGCACGGGGGTCACTGCGCGGGGGTCACAGCGCGGGGGTCACAGTGCGGGGGTCACAGCGCGTGGGTCACAGCGCGAGGGTCACAGCGCGGGGGTCACAGTGCGGGGTCACAGTGCGGGGGTCACAGTGCGGGGGTCACAGCGCGGGGGTCACAGCGCAGGGGTCGCCGCCCCCCCAACCCCTCCCCCCTCCTTCCCCCTCCCCCCCCTTTACCTGGCGGTGCAGGCGTCGCGTGCGCTCCGCGTCGACTGCGGCGTCGCACTGCGCCCCCCCCGTCGCCCCCCCCGCCGCCGCCGCCCGCGCTCGCCTCTGCGTCGCGCCGTGGCCGGGGCCGGGCAGGAACCCCCTCGGCGAGTACCCCCACGGGGTGGTGGGGGGCTGCCCACGCCGCCCGGCCCCCCGAGGCTTCGTCACCCCGAGGAGACGCTCCAGCAGGGGCTCCACGTTCTCCACGCGCCCAGACAGCTGCTCCGCATGCACGCACACAAAGATAGAGGTCCCCCGTGTGGCCTACGCAGCCGCTTGGGGGGCAAGTGCTGTGGACGAGCACCGATGAGGGCCGGCAATGCGCACGAGGGGGTGGTGTGCGGTGAGGCACGGGCTGTGTGTGGGTGGTGAGGCACGGGCTGCGTGAACGGTGAGGCACGGGCCGCGTGAACGGTGAGGCACGGGCTGCGTGAACGGTGAGACACGGGCCGCGTGAACGGTGAGGCACGGGCCGCGTGAACGGTGAGGCACGGGCTGCGTGAACGGTGAGGCACGGGCTGCGTGAACGGTGAGGCACGGGCTGCCTGAATGGTGAGACACAGGCCGCGTGAACAGTGAGGCACGGGTTGCGTGAACGGTGAGACACGGGCCGCGTGAACGGTGAGGCACGGGCCGCGTGAACGGTGAGGCACGGGCCAGGCCTCACCTCCAGCAGGTTGAGCGACTGCCCCATGGCGTTCACGGTGAGGTTCAGCGACAGCGACCGCGGCACGAATGAGTCCGGGGAGAAGACGAGCGAGCGCTGCAGGATGGCCGCCGCCTGCGGCCGGGCAGCGGGGCCTGCACAGACCACCACGCCACACCAGGCCACACCAGGCCACACCACGCCACACCACATCACGACACACCACACCAATCAGGCCACACCACACCACATCACGCCACGCCACACCACGCTTGGCCCCACCACGCCACACCACGCTTGGCCACACCACGCCACACCACGCCACACCACACCACACCACGCTTGGCCACACCACGCAACATCACGCCACACCACGCCACACCACGCCACACCAGGCCACACCACGCCACACCACATCACGACACACCACTTAGGCCACACCAGACCACACCAGGCCACGCCACACCACACCAGGCTACGCCACACCACACCAGGCTACGCCACACCACATCACGCCACACCACACCACGCTTGGCCACACCAGACAACAACACACCACATCACGCCACATCACACCATAACACGCCACGCCAGCCCACACCACATCACGCCACACCATAATGTGGTGTGGCAAGACCACGGCATGCCACGCCACACCACGGCACGCACAGCACCGAGGTCACAGGGGCGCAGGGACACGCATTGTAGCGTGCATGTTGAACTTCCTTCGCACCGTACGTAGCCAACCGTGCTATGTGTGTGTGTATTGAACTTCTTTCGCACCGTACGTAGCCAACCATGCTAATCGGAGGTGCGAGGGGAAGGTCAACAAACTGAACACAAAACGCAGTTCTAAAGAAATGAACAGTATAAGAATAGGTTCTAGCCTTTCTGGCAATGAAACAGTTGTTGTGTTAAGGTGTTCAAACCTTTCGCAAGGGAACATGCCTGCTTTAACCGCACGAACTTGTGGTGAACCACGCAAACAAAAAAAACAACACGCTCTAGAAAAAGGTGCCACGGTCGACAGAAACGAGTTTGTCAATCGAGATGATAATTTCAAAGCTTCGTGGCTCCGGTGCCGGGGGGGGGGGGAATTCCTAACATGGGAAGGAGGAGCAGCGGTCCAGCAGCGCGTCTGAGTGCGCCGCGTGACGATGCGTTGGGGCGTGAAGGCGCGGCTGACAGTGGCGCGTATCGCACTGCGTGTCCCCGTGTGTGTGTCCGTGTGTGTGTGCGTGCGTGTGTGTGTCCGTGTGTGTGTGCGTGTGTGTGTGCGTGCGTGTGTGCGCGTGTGTGTGTGTGTGCGTGCGTGTGTGTGTCCGTGTGTGTGTGCGTGTGTGCGTGCGTGTGTGTGTGTGTGTGCGTGCGTGTGTGTGCCCGTGTGTGTGTGCGCGTGTGTGTCCGTGCGTCGCCCCGTGCACGTGCGCGTATCTGAGCGTGTCCGTCGGTGCGTCTCCACGTGTTCCTCTGTGTGCATGTGTGAGTGTCCATGCGTCACCCCGTGCGCATCCGCCCGCCCGCGCGCGCGTGCCTCCCCGCGTGCAGCGACGGCGCGCGTGTCGGCGCACCCGAGCGCAGCGTCGTCTCCGCGTAGCGCGAGTAGCGCCAGCGGCTGAGGTCGGCGTCCGGGCCCGGGGGGGGGAGGCCGGCGTCCGCCAGGAGCCGACGCAGCGCGGTCTGCGCCGGGTCGGTCGAGTCCAGCAGCTGCGTCAGGTGGCTCCACACAAACGAGGCGACTGCGCGCGAACACAAAGGCAAAGACCCCCCCCCCCCACACACACACACATCGCCGTGTAGCCTTCACAGACCGTCGGGGCAAGTGCTGTCTGCCACCCACCCCCCGCGGCACACGAGGGGGGTGGGTGGCCAGCGCCACGCCCGGCCGCCTTTGTCTCTCTTAGCGGCGATGTTTACTACACACCGCACCAGGTGCTCATTTGAGGCCGACTCGACCTAGGGGAGGCCGACGAGCGGTTCAGATAATCGTCGCCGGCGTTGGCCGCTTGTGTTCCCCGTGCACGCGTGGACGAGGAACACGCGTGGACACACAGGGGAACATGCAGACACACACACACACGCCTGGGGAGTGAGTGTGGTGTGTATAGAGCGAGTGGGTGAGTGTATGGAGGAGCGATCGAGGGGATGTGGTGAGTGGGTGCGTGCGGCGAGCGGGTGGGTGTGCGTGGTGGAGCGCTTGCGGTGAGCGCGTGCGGTGAGCGCGTGCGGTGAGCGAGTGCGGTGAGCGTGTGCGGTGAGCGCGTGCGGTGAACGCGTGCGGTGAGCGCGTGCGGTGAGCGAGTGCGGTGAGCGCGTGCGGTGAGCGCGTGCGGTGAGCGCGTGCGGTGAGCGAGTGCGGTGAGCGCGTGCGGTGAGCGAGTGCGGTGAGCGCGTGTGGTGAGCGCGTGCGGTGAGCGCGTGCGGTGAGCGCGTGTGGTGAGCGCGTGTGGTGAGCGAGTGCTGTGAGTGTGTGCGGTGAGCGAGTGCGGTAAACGAGTGGGGTGAGCGAGTGAGCGCGTGTGGTAAACGAGTGCGGTGAGCGAGCGTGCGGTGAGCGAGAGTGCGGTGAGCGAGCGAGTTACCGTACCCTGCTGGGAGCTCTCATTGCGCTGGGTGAGGCGCACGGTGAGCAGCACGTCGGGCGAGGGGCAGTGCATGGCGAGGAGGTACGCGGCGATCCTCACCTCCGCCTCGTCGCGCTCGTCTCGGTACAGCTCCACCAGAGCCCCACGCTGCACGCACCGCGACCGCACCGGCGGTGCCACCGCTCGCGGTCAGCGCGGTGAACTTGGTGAGCGCGGCGGGCGTGTGGTGAGTGTGGTGAGTGTGGTGAGTGGTGCGGGTGGTGAGTGAGTGGTGAGTGACTGGTGAGTGGTGGTGAGTGACTGGTGAGTGTGGTGAGTGAGTGGGGAGTGGCGCGTGTGGCTAGTGAGTGGTGAGTGTGGTGAGTGAGTGGGGAGTGGCGCGTGTGGTGAGTGACTGGTGAGTGGGGAGTGGTGAGTGCGGTGAGGGTGAGAGCGTGGTGAGTCTCACGTCGGCCTCGCAGGGGATCCGCCGGAACGCGTCGACAGCCGCGAGCCTCAGCTCCAGGCTGGAGCCGGGCCCGCGGGCCCGGGCACAGCGAGCGAGCACGGGCGCCAGCGTCGCTCCCCCCGCTAGCCCCGCATTGCCCAGCGCCTTGAGGGCCAGCAGCGCCTGCGGACGCGGGGGACACACGGGGGACACGTGGGGGACACGCGGGGACACGCGGGGACAGGCAGAGGCACACGGGGGACATGGGGATACAGAGACACGGAGTCGCGGGGACAATAGAGACGAGAGGTCTCACTTCCTCGGGCCACTCTCAATTCCCTTCGGGCTCCGTGGCCGTGACCGCGTCTCCCAGCGCCCGCTCCTTGCTCAGCTCCACGTGAAACTTGCCCCCAAACCTAAACTGGAGCCGAGTCTTGCCCTCCCTGCCCTCGCTGCCCTCAATACCCCTGCCTTACTGCCCTTCTGTACCCTCCCTGCCCACCCCTGCCCTACCCACACCCCGGTTCCCGTGCCCCTCGCTATCCCTGGCGACCCTCAGCACCCTGCCCCTCGCTGCCCCTGGCGACCGCCTCGACCTGCTCCTAGCTGCCCCTGGCTCTGTACCTGCCCTTGGCTGCCCGCTGGCTGCCCGCTGGCTACCCCCCACCCCCCGCCCCTCCTTGTACCTGTTCCCGGGCCTCGCGTCCCCGGGGCGAGCAGTCGGGCTCCAGGCGGCGGGCGATGGCGTGAACCGCGGCCCGCACAGCGCTCTCCCCGCCGCACCCCACGGCCGCCTTCGTGCAGAAGTTGTGCAGCAGCGCGGACACGGAGAGCAGTGCGGCCCGGGAGCCGGCGGCAGACGTCGCTGTCCCCGCCTCGGACTTCAGCAGCGGCTGCCGGTGGGAGGGGGGGGGCACGAGCGACGCCACGCATGGAGTGGGGGGTAAGGCGCGGGGGGCCCGGGACACCGGGAGGAAGCGCCGCGCCGTCACGCGGCGCGACGCTTCATATCGGTCGTCTTGCTGCTCTGCTTAAGACCAGGAGCAGGTGGGTGGCTTCACCGTTGTGGCAAAATCGCCCGACGATGCTGGATGCAATTACAAAACGAGACGTCGTGCTACTCAGATCGTAAATGTTGTGGATTCACTCTTCAAACACACACCGGTGGGCCGAAGGAGAGAACTATTTGGCGTTTCGTTTAACGTGACAAAATCCCCTTGCCGGTTGGCTGTCGGGCGGTGGTTGGGTTTCGACGCATTTATACTTCGGCGATCGAACCCAAAAAACCTTCATTATGAATATCGGTAGTGGTGGTGGTGGGGGGCATCCCGCGAACGTCCCGTATTGCGTGCCCTGTCGTGTGTGCGCGCGCGTGCATGTGTGCGTGTGCCCCGTGGTGTCTCCCCTTGTATTGTGTTTTCTCGTGCGTCCCGCGCCGCGTCTCCTACCGTGACGGCGACGATCATCGCGGCCGTGGGCTCGGGCACAAACGCGAGGGAGCGCAGCCAGCCATGGGCGACGCCCGCGCTCACCGAGCCCAGCTCCGACGCCATGAGCGCCACGCACGCCTCAGAGCCGCACGCGGGCAGAGCCTCCTTCAGCGGGTTCCTGCACCGCGCACGGCGCATGCGCTCGCTCCTAGACTCCCTCGAGGACTCGCTCAGAGACTCCCTCGCGGACTCGCTCAGAGACTCTCTCACGGACTCCTTTGGAGACTCTCTCACGGACTCACTCGGAGACACTCTCACGAACTCACTCAGAGACTCTCTCACGGACTCACTCGGAGACTCTCTCACGGACTCACTCGGAGACTCTCTCGCGGTCTCACTCGTAGACTCTCTCACGGACTCCGTTGGAGACGCTCTCACGGACTCACTCGTAGACTCTCTCACGGACTCGCACAGAGACTCTCTCACGGACTCCGTTGGAGACTCTCTCACGGACTCGCTGGGAGACTCTCTCACGGACTCCGTTGGAGACTCTCTCATGGACTCGCTGGGAGACTCTCTCATGGACTCGCTCACTCTTAGACACTCTCACGGACTCGCTCAGAGACTCTCTCACGGACTCCGTTGGAGACCCTCTCACGGACTCACTCCTAGACTCTCTCACGGACTCCGTTGGAGACTCTCTCACGGACTCCGTTGGAGACTCTCTCACGGACTCCGTTGGAGACTCTCTCACGGACTCCGTTGGAGACTCTCTCACGGACTCCGTTGGAGATTCTCTCACGGACTCGCTCGTAGACTCTCTCGCGGACTCGCTCGGAGACTCTCTCACGGACTCCGTTGGAGACTCTCTCGCGGACTCGCTGGGAGACGCTCTCACGGACTCCGTTGGAGACCCTCTCACGGACTCCGTTGGAGACGCTCTCACGGACTCACTCCTAGACTCTCTCACGGACTCCGTTGGAGACGCTCTCACGGACTCCGTTGGAGACCCTCTCACGGACTCGCTCAGAGACTCTCTCACGGACTCACTCAGAGACTCTCTCACGGACTCCGTTGGAGACACTCTCACGGACTCGCTCGGAGACTCTCTCACGGACTCGCTCATAGACACTCTCACGGACTCGCTCGGAGACTCTCTCACGGACTCACTCCTAGACTCTCTCACGGACTCCGTTGGAGACTCTCTCACGGACTCCGTTGGAGACTCTCTCACGGACTCGCTCAGAGACCCTCTCACGGACTCACTCAGAGACTCTCTCACGGACTCCGTTGGAGACTCTCTCACGGACTCACTCGGAGACTCTCTCACGGACTCACTCGGAGACTCTCTCGCGGTCTCACTCGTAGACTCTCTCACGGACTCCGTTGGAGACGCTCTCACGGACTCACTCGTAGACTCTCTCACGGACTCGCACAGAGACTCTCTCACGGACTCCGTTGGAGACTCTCTCACGGACTCGCTGGGAGACTCTCTCACGGACTCCGTTGGAGACTCTCTCATGGACTCGCTGGGAGACTCTCTCATGGACTCGCTCACTCTTAGACACTCTCACGGACTCGCTCAGAGACTCTCTCACGGACTCCGTTGGAGACTCTCTCACGGACTCACTCCTAGACTCTCTCACGGACTCCGTTGGAGACTCTCTCACGGACTCCGTTGGAGACTCTCTCACGGACTCCGTTGGAGACTCTCTCACGGACTCCGTTGGAGACTCTCTCACGGACTCCGTTGGAGACTCTCTCACGGACTCGCTCGTAGACTCTCTCGCGGACTCGCTCGGAGACTCTCTCACGGACTTCGTTGGAGACTCTCTCGCGGACTCGCTGGGAGACGCTCTCACGGACTCCGTTGGAGACCCTCTCACGGACTCCGTTGGAGACGCTCTCACGGACTCACTCCTAGACTCTCTCACGGACTCCGTTGGAGACGCTCTCACGGACTCCGTTGGAGACCCTCTCACGGACTCGCTCAGATACTCTCTCACGGACTCACTCAGAGACTCTCTCACGGACTCCGTTGGAGACACTCTCACGGACTCGCTCGGAGACTCTCTCACGGACTCGCTCATAGACACTCTCACGGACTCGCTCGGAGACTCTCTCACGGACTCACTCCTAGACTCTCTCACGGACTCCGTTGGAGACTCTCTCACGGACTCCGTTGGAGACTCTCTCACGGACTCGCTCAGAGACCCTCTCACGGACTCACTCAGAGACTCTCTCACGGACTCCGTTGGAGACTCTCTCACGGACTCGCTCGGAGACTCTCTCACGGACTCGCTCATAGACACTCTCACGGACTCGCTCGGAGACTCTCTCACGGACTCGCTCATAGACGCTCTCACGGACTCCGTTGGAGACTCTCTCACGGACTCCGTTGGAGACTCTCTCACGGACTCCGTTGGAGACGCTCTTACGGACTCCGTTGGAGACTCTCTCACGGACTCCGTTGGAGTCTCTCTCACGGACTCACTCGTAGACTCTCTCGCGGACTCGCACAGAGACTCTCTCACGGACTCCGTTGGAGACTCTCTCACGGACTCGCTGGGAGACTCTCTCACGGACTCCGTTGGAGACTCTCTCATGGACTCGCTGGGAGACTCTCTCACGGACTCGCTCACTCCTAGACTCGCTCGCGGACTCGCTCGGAGACTCTCTCACGGACTCCGTTGGAGACTCTCTCGCGGACTCACTCCTAGACTCTCTCACGGACTCCGTTGGAGACTCTCTCACGGACTCCGTTGGAGACTCTCTCACGGACTCACTCCTAGACTCTCTCACGGACTCCGTTGGAGACTCTCTCACGGACTCCATTGGAGACTCTCTCACGGACTCGCTCAGAGACTCTCTCACGGACTCACTCAGAGACTCTCTCACGGACTCCGTTGGAGACTCTCTCACGGACTCACTCAGAGACTCTCTCACGGACTCGCTCATAGACACTCTCACGGACTCGCTCGGAGACCCTCTCACGGACTCGCTCATAGACTCTCTCACGGACTCCGTTGGAGACTCTCTCACGGACTCCGTTGGAGACTCTCTCACGGACTCCGTTGGAGACTCTCTCACGGACTCCGTTGGAGACTCTCTCACGGACTCACTCCTAGACTCTCTCACGGACTCCGTTGGAGACTCTCTCACGGACTTACTCGTAGACTCTCTCACGGACTCGCTCGTAGACTCTCTCACGGACTCGCACGTAGATTCTCTCACGGACTCGTACGCCCACTCACTACCGCCACGACACTCAATACCCGCACGGGCTCTCTACCACTGTGGAGACAAAGGCGTCCGGTCGCGCGACGATGGCCACAACAGCCGCTCGCGCGCCGTGCCGGCCTTCCTAGGCGCTGCTCGCAAACAGCACGTGCATCAATATGGCCGCGTAGGCTACACGCGGGGATCTTTGTCCCCGCGTGTAATTGTAGTAATGAGTGTGTGGATAAGTGTGTGGTGGGGCGTGTTCAGCGTAACGGTTAGTGCACCGAGCTACGAGCCCGGCGACACGAGTTCGATTCCCGCTCGCGACCAATGACCGTGACAAATAATTGAACCCGGTCCTCGATCCCTCCCCTCGATCGACTCGGCCGTAAAATGAGTACCTGGCGCGGTGTGTTAACAATAATCAGCGCTGGGGATGCAAAGGTGGCCTTGGCGGGCGTGGTGTTGGCCACCCACAACCCCGGTGGCACGCCGTGCCGCTCTGCATGGGTGCCGCTCGCTGCGAGCGAGTGTGCGACCCTTACGCGCGGCAGGAGAGACGCGCCAATGCCCACAGGGCCCGCAGCTCCTCGCCACTCAGGCCGCGCAGGGAGAACGCCAGCTCCGGGAAGATCGCAGCCGCCTGGGGTCAAATGCGTCAGTCGATTATGAGGACGAGGATGAGGATGATGATGATGATGTGGATTGGGCAGAGGGACAAAGGTGGTCAGGCGTGGTGTGCCGGCCTTCATGAAGGAGGTAATTGGACAGGTGGTGGTGAGAGGGAATGAGCCGAAGGAGGTGATTGGACAGGTGGTGGTGAGAGGGAACAAGGTGATTGGGCAGCGAAAGCACGACACACAAAGAGCGAACGCGTGCACAGCGGCAGCACACGCAGCTTGGGCAGGAGAGATAGATGACATCACAGCAGTGTGATGTCATCACAGTGGTGTGATGTCATGCACCACGGGCAGCTGCCCCCTCTCTGTTGTTGCACGTAAAAAAGACAAAGAACACCCGTATGGCCTTAACAGGCCGCCTTTGTCTCCCCAGCCCTGATGTTTGCGTACCAAGGTGCCCATCTCAAGGCTGAGTCGACCTAGGGGAGGCCCGGAACCGGTTCAGATATTCTCCGGCCGAATGTCAGGCTCGCCGCACGGCCTTCTAGGAGTGCACAATATCAGCAGCATTGATTACAGGCGACCTCTGCAGCGACGTTCAAAGTTCAGCAGAGTTCAGGCTCGCTTGAACCTGCCCAAAAAATTAATGGACAGGGATTTTCTGGGATCAGTACACGCCGGGCAGTATCATCCTGCCCTGGGATCAGTGCACCCCGGGCAGTATCATCCTGCCCTGGGATCAGTGCACCCCGGGCAGTTTCATCCTGCCCTGGGATCAGTGCACCCCGGGCAGTATCATCCTGCCCCTGTAGAATCAGCACCGCGGACAGCGGCGCGTGGGACCAATGCTGCCAGATTCATCTTTCGGCTGCACGCGCGTGAGGCTGTGCGCGTGCGTGCACGTGGGTTCACGCGTATGGAGCCAATGGGAGGGAGGCTCTTGAATGACGCCCTGGGTCTCTGTCCCGTGACCTCGTGGCAACAGCGAACCACCCGCCACCCTTCGCGTTCGCCCCTAGCCTGGCACACAAGCGCCGCGGTGACATTGCCGCCACTTAGTGGCAAACGGTGGCTGCTGCTGCCGCTGTTTGTGGTCGCCAACAGCACTTGCCCCAACAGTCTGTTGAGGCTGCTACACGAGGTGGGGGGGGGGCAGTGGGGGAGGGGGTGGGTCTTTGGCGTGCGCTCGCTCCCGACCTGCAGGGGGTCCGTGTCGGGCGCGCACAGCACCCGCAGGGCGCCGTGCGCCCCCGACTTGGATCCCCGCTCGGCGGCGTCGTCGCCGGGGCTCCTCTCCATGAGCAGCGTCGTCGCACGCACGAGCGGCACCCGCTCCTCGCCTGGCACGAGCACGCGCGGGGGCACAGAGCGCGCTCACATCACTCTCTCTCACGCATCTCTCTCTCTCTTCACACATCTCTCTCTCTTACATCGTTTCTCTCTTCACACAGCTCTCTCTCTCTCTACACATCTCTCTCACATCTCTCTCTTACATCGTATCTCTATTCAGACAGCCCTCTCTCTCTTCACACATCTCCCTCTCTCTCACATCTCTCTCTCTCTCTCTCACCGTCTCTCTTCACACAGCTCTCTCTCTCTCTCTCGCACCGTCTCTCTTTACACCTCCGATGAGCGCTTATGAGATGTCGATGTGACGACTGAACGAGGTTGTGACCATTCTGTTGACCGCACGGTGCCGTCATGCTGTTCAGTCAGCGCAGCTCCTGTTTGGGGCCTTCACCCGTGGGCCTCTCCTGTTTGGGGCCTTCACCCGTGGGCCTCTCCTGTTTGGGGCCCTCACCCGTGGGCCTCTCCTGTTTGGGGCCTTCACCTGTGGGCCTCTCCTGTTTGGGGCCTTCACCCGTGGGCCTCTCCTGTTTGGGGCCCTCACCCGTGGGCCTCTCCTGTTTGGGGCCTTCACCTGTGGGCCTCTCCTGTTTCGGGCCTTCACCTGTGGACCTCTCCTGTTTGGGGCCTTCACCCGTGGGCCTCTCCTGTTTGGGGCCCTCACCCGTGGGCCTCTCCTGTTTGAGGCCCTCACCTGTGGGCCTCTCCTGTTTGGGGCCTTCACCTGTGGTCCTCTCCTGTTTGGGACCCTCACCCGTGGGCCTCTCCTGTTTGGGGCCCTCACCCGTGGGCCTCTCCTGTTTGGGGCCTTCACCTGTGGGCCTCTCCTGTTTGGGGCCCTCACCCGTGGGCCTCTCCTGTTTGGGGCCTTCACCTGTGGGCCTCTCCTGTTTGGGGCCCTCACCTGTGGGCCTCTCCTGTTTGGGGCCCTCACCCGTGGGCCTCTCCTGTTTGGGACCCTCACCTGTGGGCCTCTCCTGTTTGGGGCCTTCACCTGCGGTGGGCCTCTCCTGTTTGGGACCCTCACCTGTGGGCCCCTCCTGTTTGGGGCCCTCACCTGTGGGCCTCTCCTGTTTGGGACCCTCACCTGTGGGCCCCTCTCCTGTTCGGGACCCTCACCCGTGGGCCCCTCTCCTGTTCGGGACCCTCACCTGCGGTGGGCCTCTCCTCCGTGGGCCCGTGCTGGTCGAACGAGAAGGCCACGCGGGAGCGAGTGCGCACGCCCTGGGCGCGCTGCTGATGCTGATGAAAGGGCGTGAAGAGCAGCTCCTCTTCACACGTGGCGTTCGGCAGCGGGGCCCCGGGCGGGTAGGAGAGCGAGCAGCGCGCGTGGCCCCGCAGGACCTCCTGAGGCCCGCCGCTCGAGTCCTGTCACGGGGATCCCCACACACAGACAAAGATCCCCCCCGCCCACCGTTATGCACTCTGCGTCATTATTTTCCATCGCGCTCCATCTCCACCTCTTGTCTGCATCTTTTGCCACATCTCACCCACAAAGACAAAGGTCCCCCCGTGTAGCCTTAACAGACTGTTGGGGCAAGTGCTGTCAGTGAGTAGCACCGATGAAGGCCGGCACGGCACACGAAGGGGTGGGAAGACCAGCAACCACGCCCGACCGCATTTGTCTCCACAGTGGCGATATTTTGCACACCGCACTGGGTACTCATTTGAGGCTGAGTCGACCTAGGGGAGGCCCAAGACCGGTTTAGATAATCGTCACCAGGTGTTGGCCGTGAGCAGGAATCGAACCCGGGTTGCCAGGTTCGTAGCGCAGCGTAGCGCTAAACGCTACACCACCGCTCCCCCCACACACACACACGCACTTGCACAGGCACACACGCACGCACACCCGCGCTATTTTTCCGGCTGAGCCGACCTAGGGGAGTCCCAGTCTCGCTCACGTGTGGCAGGGCCGTGAGGAGCAGCGAGGAGCTGGAGAAGCCTCGATGCTTGCACGAGCGCAGATCCTTGCTCTTGAGCAGCCCGCCTCCTGCATCGCGGCGGTACTGGGTGCTGCATCGGCCCAGCACGTCCTCCTGGAACACGTGGGGGGACACGGGGGACACGTGGGGAACCCGGAGGACACGGGGAACACGTGGGGACACGTGGGGAACACGGGGGACACGTGGGGACACGTGAGACACGGGGGACACGTGAGACACGGGAGACACGGGGGAACACATGGGACACGGGGGGATACGTGGGAACACGTGGGACACGGGGGGACACGGGGGGACACGGGGGACATGGGGGGACACGGGGGGACACGTGAGACACGGGGGACACGTGAGCCACGGGAGACACGGGGGAACACGTGGGACACGGGGGGACACGGGGGGACACGGGGGACATGGGGGGACACGGGGGGACACGTGAGACACGGGAGACACGGGGGAACACGTGGGACACGGGGGACACGGGGGGACACGTGGGGATACGTGGGACACATGAGACACGTGGAACACGTGGGGACACGTGGGGAACACGGAGAACACGGAAGACATGGGGAGACACATCAGACATGGGGGAACACGTGAGACACGGGAGACACGGGGGAGCACGTGAGACACGGGTAACACGTAGGGACACGAGGGACAAGGGGAACACATGGGAACACGGGGGGAGACGTGGGGAACACGGGAGATTCGGGGGACACGGGAGATTCGGGAGACACGAGGGGACACGGGAGACACGAGGGGACACGGGAGACACGAGGGGACACGGGTCATGGAGTGTGTTCCTGCTCCGAGTGCTGCGCGCGTTGCTGTCATCACCCGCACCGCGTGTCGCCTGCAGGGGGCAGCGTGGCACCATCCTGGAGCCTCTGCTGCAGGGGGGGTCCCGGCGAAGGGGTTGGGGAAGTTTCTAATTGGTGTTGGGGGGGGGTGTTTGTAAACATCGCCACTCGGGAGATAAAGGCGGCCGGGGCGCGTTGCTGGCCACCCACCCCCTCGTGCGCCGTGCCGGCCTTCATAGGTGCTGCTAACGGCACTTGCCCCAACATTTTGCTGAGGCTATACGGGGGGTGGGGGGGGGATCTTTGTCTTTGTTAGGGGTAGCGAAGGTGTCACTGGGTTAGCAGCGTTGTTGGGTCAGTGCTGCACCGCGAATTCTCACCTCGACTACGTCCACGTTCCCATGGGGCCCAGGGAGGGAATCATCGGTCTCCGGCAGGAAGCCGTGGGCCACAGGGAGGGAGCCGTGGGCCCCCTGGAGGGAGCCGTGGGCCCCAGGGAGGGAGTTCTCTGTCTCCGGCAGGAAGCCGTGGGCCCCAGGGAGGGAGCCGTGGGCCTCCTGGAGGGAGCCTTGGGCGTCCTGTAGGAAGCCGTGGGCCACAGGGAGGGAGTTCTGCACGGCGCTCAGGAGTCCCCGCTTCACGTTCAGGGCCCAAATCTCCTCTCCCACGGCTGGGCACAGCCGCGGGATGAGCCCCCCTTGCAGGGAGAAGTGAAGGGGGTTCGCCTCCAGCTCGGCCCTGGGGGGCGGGGTGGGGGGAGATACAGTCGAGGAGAACTCAATTTAACACGTTGGCTTTCGCGACCAATATCCATAATAGAGGGGTTTTTTTGTTAGATCGCGTAAATATATAAATGCGTCGCTAAAACCCGCCACCACCCGACACAGCCAACTAGTAAGGGGTTGTCACGTAAACAGAACGTGGCCAATTCGTAATTAACAACACACCGGTGTAGTGCTGTACTAGTATAATACACTATACTACACTATACACTACACTATTCACTACACTGTACACTACACTATACACACTACATACTAGTGCTGTACTAGTATACTACACTATACTACACTACACTATATACTACACTATACACTACACTGCATACTAGTGCTGTACTAGTATACTACACTATAATACACTACACTACACACTACACTACACACTAGTGCTGTAAAAGTGACGAATTGGCCACGTTCTGTTTACGTGACAAATCCCTTACTAGTTGGCTGTGTCGGGTGGTGGCGGGTTTTAACGACACATTTATACATTTACGCGATCTAACCCACAAACAAAAAATCTATTGTGGAGGAGAACTCAGTCCAGCAAACTCAACAACTTTGTCAATTATAACACTGTGCGTGTGCGGCCTTCAAGTGAATGCACGCGCATGTTTGAACTTCTTTCGCACCGTGCGTAGACGACCGAGGCTAACCGGAGGTGCGGGGCAAGGACGACACCACTCAACACGACGACAGCAAGAAGCACATTTTGACTTAAAACTGTCGTGACTGCAGGAATTCATATTCATGGTCCTTTCGGTAAAAGTCACGTAGATAGAGAACTAAATAAAAAAATTACAACATGATTTTATTTTTATAAAATAAAAATGATATTATTTTTTTATAAAATAAAAATAGTAATAATTATTTTATTGTTTATAAAATTAAAACGATATTATTATTTTTTTATAAAATAGAAATAATTATTATTTTATTTTTATAAACTAAAATTTATAATATTTTTTTTTTATAAAATAAACAAATTTATTATTTTATTTGTATAAAATAAAAATAATAATGTTATTCAATTTCATATCTTCGTGACTTTACCGAAATAACCAAGAATATAGCAAGAAGCAAGTTCTAAAGAAATTCGTTTGTCAATCTCGACGGTGATGTAAACCGGCGCAGCCTCAGTGGCTTCCTAATATCGGAATGGAAGAGCGTTCCAGACGGCCGCAGAAGCGCATCCGAAAGCACCGCGCGATGCGGTGACCGGCGTCTTTGTCCGACGGCGATGACGACGGTGGTGCTGGTGGTTTAAACTCCTTCACGAGATCAGCAGAGGTATCGTTATCCGCTCTTTGCAAAATGTCTGTATGTTGAACCTCTTTCGCACCGTACGTAGCCAACCGTGCTGATCGGAAGGATGATGATGATGATGGCCGAGACTAACAACGGAGTGACAGCCAACGGAAGGGAACGCAGCTCGTGTGCGGAGGGCTGCCAGATGGACTGATGCACATCCATCGCGTGCCCTTCGTTCAGCAGTTGACAGATCATGGCTGCTGATGGTGTTGGTGGTGTTCACGATGATGATGAAGACGGTGACGAGGTGATGAAGGTTATAGGGCTAAGGAGGCGATGATGTAACGAGGTAACGGCGCCGCACCCTGGAACCAGAGCAGCTGCCTTCAGGGCACGCGGTCAGGCGAGTCCGGGCAGGTAGCTGTCCCCTCTCTCTCCGCTCTCCCCTCTTCTCAAACCTCTCTCCTCTTTCCCCTCTCCCCCCAAGCTTCTCTCCCTTCCGCTCTATCAACCTCTTTCCTAACTCCCGTCTCCTCCACCTACCTCAAACTCTCTCTCTCTCTGTTATGTCTCGGCGCATCCAGCGCCACAACGCGTGTGTTTATTGTGAATTTCGTATCAAAATCGCCTCCAGTGCTTGTTGCTGCTGGCGGCAATGAAAGTGGTTTGAAAGTCAAAAATCTCTCCTGTCCACTCTCTCTCCTATCAACTCTCTCTCTCTCCTGCCCCCCTCTCTTTGTCCTGTCCCCTCCTCCCCCCCCCCCCCTTTCTCTCTCTCCCCTATCCCCTCTCTTTCTCCTATCCACTCTCTCTCATATCCACTCTCCTTTTTTTTCTTTATCAGATACAAATACCAGAGAAAGGGAGATGCTCAAATATTTAAATAAATAGCCACTAAGATATCAGTGAAAAGAAGATTGTGTAAAACATCTGATAGGAAGGGGTAAGGCACCGACCACAACGGACGGCGCAAACAAATGTCCCCCCCCCCCCGTGTAGCCTTGGAGCCTGGCTGGGGCAGGTGCTCGTCCAGCGAGGCCCATTGGTGGTGCGGTGTGGCCAATACCGGTGGCGACGTCCGGTACACGCACGCCGCACCCAGGCGCTCATTGAAGGCCGAGTGCACTTAAATCCGGGGGGGGTGGGGGGGAACATTTTTTCTGCCAAGGGCCATTTGAATATTTTTAACATCATTCGCGGGCCAAACAAAATTATCAACTTAAACATTAGCCCGTTATATTTGGTCAAACAATTCATTAACTCAACCCCTAATGCGATGGCTGGAAATGCTTTCTCTTTGGCGAGGCGTGGTGAGGATGTTAGCCGGTGTTGATGATGTTGCTGCTACTCGCAACTGCTTTTCCAGGTTTGCTCCTAGATTTATTGAATTTCGAGTCCCGCCTGCGGTTGCCTTTGCAGGGCCAGAGACCAAATGATTTCGGGGCCTTATACAGCCCGCGGGCTGGACGTTCCCCACCCCTGACCTAAACGAGAAAAACAAAACTCTCTCTCCTGCCCCCCCTATCTCTCCTACCCCCCTCTCTCTCCTGTCCCCCCCCCCTCTCTCTCCTGTCCCCCCCCCCTCTCTCTCTCCTGTCCCCCCCCTCTCTCTCCTGTCCCCCCCCCTCTCTCCTGACCCTCTCTCCCCTCTCCTCCCTCTCCCCTCGCCCGGGGGCTCGACCCAGCGATGGGAGGAATGCGGCTCCCCCCTCTTCCAACTCCCACTGGAGGGGGGGGGGGGAGCAGGGGTCTCGCGGATCCTTCCCGGGGGGGGGCGGGAGCCTGAGGTCACGGAGGGGGGGGTCGGGGGAGGGGTCGGGGCGGTGGGTGACTGGGGGTCAGGGGTTAAGGTCTGGCACGGGGCATAGCGCCTGCAACTCGCACGAGCGATCGGTTGCGCGACCGAGCGATCCGATTGCGGGCGTCTGCGCAACCGGTTGCGAGCAGTTGCGCAACCGGCATAACCCTGCTCGTCTTGGCCGTGTCGCTGGTTGCGACTTGGAGTTGCGTGTCTCGCGGTTGCTGCTGCTGGTGATGACCGTTGTTGTTGTTGCTGCTGGTGACGATCCTTGTTGTTGCTGATCGTTGTTGTTGTTGATGATTATCCTTATTGCTGATGATGATGATGACCGTTGTTGTTGTTGCTGCTGGTAATGATCCTTGTTGTTGCTGATCGTTGTGGATGTTGTTGTTGATGATTATCCTTGTTGCTGATGATGATGATCGTTGTTGTTGTTGCTGCTGGTGATGATCCTTGTTGTTGTTGCTGATCGTTGTGGTTGTTGTTGATTATCCTTGTTGTTGATGATGATTGTTGTTGTTGCTGCTGGTGATGATCCCTGTTGTTGTTACTGATCGTTGTGGTTGTTGTTGTTGATGATTATCCTTGTTGTTGATGATGATGATCGTTGTTGTTGCTGCTGGTGATGATCCTTGATGTTGTTGCTGATCGTTGTGATTATCCTTGTTGCTGATGATGATGATGACCGTTGTGGTTGTTGTTGCTGCTGGTAATGATCCTTGTTGTTGCTGATCGTTGTGGTTATTGTTGTTGATGATTATCCTTGTTGCTGATGATCGTTGTTGTTGTTGCTGCTGGTGATGATCCTTGTTGTTGTTGCTGATCGTTGTGGTTGTTGTTGTTGATTATCCTTGTTGTTAATGATGATGATTGTTGTTGTTGTTGCTGCTGGTGATGATCCTTGTTGTTGCTGATCGTTGTGGTTGTTGTTGTTGATGATTATCCTTGTTGCTGATGATGATCGTTGTTGTTGTTGTTGCTGCTGGTGATGATCCTTGTTGTTGCTGATCGTTGTGGTTGTTGTTGATTATTATCCTTGTTGTTGATGATGATGATGATTGTTGTGGTTGTTGTTGCTGCTGATGATGATCCTTGTTGTTGCCGATCGTTGTGGTTGTTGTTGTTGATGATGATCCTTGTTGCTGATGATGATGTTTGTTGTGGTTGTCGTTGTTGCTGCTGATGATAATCCTTGTTGTTGTTGCTGATCGTTGTGGTTGTTGATGATTATCCTTGTTGCCGATGATGATGATCGTTGTGGTTGTTGTTGTTGTTGCTGATGATCCTTGTTGTTGTTGCTGATGATGATGATGATCGTTGTGGTGGTTGTTGTTATTGTTAAGCTGCGCCCAGGAATGCGTCGGGACCAGTGGAGGAGCGCGAGGTGCCGTGCGGACAGCGGCGCATTCCTGGGCTCAGAGCCAAGGTGCGAACTTCCACGGATTTCTGTCGCTGGCGGTCTCAGCACCGAGCGGAGATCCGGCCTCCGCAAACTTCAACATCATCATCGTCATCTCCAACGCCATCATCGTCTTCACCGTCTTCAACATCATCATCTCCAACATCATCATCTCCAACATCATCTCTCACATTATCTCCAACATCATCATCGTCTTCAACATCATCATCTCCAACATCATCATATCTCACATTATCCTCAACATCATCATTATCTCTAACATCATCATCCCCAACATCATCATCTCCAACATCATCGTCTTCAACATCATCATCTCCAACATTATAATCTCCCACATTATCTCTAACATCATCATCATCTCCAACAGCATCATCATCATCCGCAACATCATCCCCAACATCATCATCATCATCATCTCTCACATAATCTCCAACATCATCATTATCTCTAACATCATCATCATCATCATCTCCAACAACATCATCCTCAACATCATCATCCCCAACATAATCATCCCCAACAATATCATCTGCAACATCATCATCATCCCCAATATCATCATCATTATCCCCAACCTCATCATCATGATCCCCAGCATCATCATCCCCAATCATCATCATCATCCCCAACCTCATCATCATCATCCCATCATCATCCTCGACTTCATCCCGGACACAAACACAGTCTCGCCGTGACCGCCGAGTTCCATGTGACTTGATTTAGAGGTTCCACACGGGTCTATGTTCCCACGGGGTATTGGGGGTTCCATGGGATCTTGAGAGGAATCCACAGCGTTTGGGAGTTCAACAGACTCCTGGAGGTGCGATTGGGTGTTGAGAGTTCCACGGGGGGTCTTGAGGGTTCCACGGGGGGTCTTGAGGGTTTCACGGGGGGTCTTGAGAGTTCCACGGGGGGTGTTGAGGGTTCCACGGGGGGTCTTGAGGGTTCCACGGGGGGTGTTGAGGGTTCCACGGGGGTCTTGAGGGTTCCACGGGGGTCTTGAGGGTTCCACGGGGGTCTTGAGGGTTCCACGGGGGGTGTTGAGGGTTCCACGGGGGGTCTTGAGGGTTCCACGGGGGGTCTTGAGGGTTCCACGGGGGTCTTGAGGGTTCCACGCGATCGCAGGGACAGGGATGTAGGACCGGGCCTCGGCACCCGCAGGCTGCCCGGTCGCCTGGCTCTCACGACAGAAATCCGCGGAAGTTCCCCCCCCCCACCACCCCACCACCAACTCACCCGACCCCACCACCAACTCACCCGACCCCACCACCGCCCGCCAGGATGATCGCCCCCCCCCCCCCCTCACGCCCGCCCGCTAGCCCCCGCGTGCCGTAGGTGCAAGGCAATTAGCGAAAGCGCCGCGCATTCTTCCACCGCAAGGGGAGAGCGGGGAGCGCCACCGCTCACCCGCCCCCCACCCCCCTCCTCCTCTCCCCACTCACCCTAGCAGCCATCACTCAACTCTCACGCCCATTCCTCACTGATCCCCGTGCCGCAGAATCGCGGTTGTCAACTTCACTCCGGCACACACTCGGCCACTGGGGACGCGTGGAGCCGGGGGGTGTGGGGAGGTGGGGGCTGTGGTGGTGTAGTAGGGGGGGGCTGTGGTGGTGTAGTAGGGGGGGGGCTGTGGTGGTGTGCTAGAGAGGGGGGCTGTGGTGTTGTAGTAGAGGGGGGCTGTGGTGGTGTAGTAGAGGGGGGGGGCTGTGGTGGTGTGGTAGATGGGGGGGCTGTGGTGGTGTGGTAGAGGGGGGGGCTGTGGTGGTGTAGTAAAGGGGGGGGGCTGTGGTGGTGTATTAGTGGGGGCTGTGGTGGTGTAGTAGAGGGGGGGGGGCTGTGGTGGTGTAGTAGAGGGGGGGGCTGTGGTGGTGTATTAGGGGGGGCTGTGGTGGTGTAGTAGGGGGGGGGGGCTGTGGTGGTGTAGTAGAGGGGGGGGCTGTGGTGGTGTAGTAGAGAGGGGGGGCTGTGGTGGTATAGTAGGGGGGGGGGCGGTGGTGGTGTAGTAGAGGGGGGGGCTGTGGTGGTGTAGTAGAGGGGGGGGCTGTGGTTGTGTAGTAAAGGGGGGGGGGCTGTGGTGGTGTATTAGGGGGGGCTGTGGTGGTGTAGTAGAGGGGGGGGCTGTGGTGGTGTATTAGGGGGGGGCTGTGGTGGTGTAGTAGAGGGGGGGGGCTGTGGTGGTGTAGTAGAGGGGGGGCTGTGGTGGTGTAGTAGAGAGGGGGGGCTGTGGTGGTGTAGTAGGGGGGGGGGGCTGTGGTGGTGTAGTAGAGGGGGGGCTGTGGTGGTGTAGTAGAGGGGGGGGGCTGTGATGGTGTAGTAGAGGGGGAGGCTGTGGTGGTGTAGTAGAGGGGGGGGGCTGTGGTGGTGTAGTAGAGGGGGGGCTGTGGTGGTGTAGTAGAGGGGGGGGGCTGTGGTGGTGTAGTAGAGGGGGGGCTGTGGTGGTGTAGTAGAGGGGGGCTGTGGTGGTGTGGTGTGGTGGTGTGGTGGTGGAGTGGTGGAGGGTGGTGGAGTGGTGTAGTAAAGGGGGGCTGTGGTGGTGTAGTAGAGGGGGGGGGCTGTGGTGGTGTAGTAGAGGGGGGCTGTGGTGGTGTGGTGGTGTGGTGGAGTGGTGGTGTGGTGGAGTGGTGGTGTGGTGGTGTGGTGGAGGGTGGTGGAGTGGCCATAATGAAAGGGTGCAGCGTTGCTCGTGGAATCCGGTGGCAGGGCAGCAGTTCGTCCCCTAGAGATAGCAGCAGCAGAGGGAGCGGGAGGGTGGGGGCAAGGGGGAGGGTAGGGGCTAGGGGGATGGTGGGGGCTAGGCGGAGGGTGGGGGCTAGGGGGAGGGTGTGGGCTAGGCGGAGGGTGGGGGCTAGGCGGAGGGTGGGGGCTAGGGGGATGGTGGGGGCTAGGCGGAGGGTGGGGGCTAGGGGGAGGGTGGGGGCTAGGCGGAGGGTGGGGGCTAGGCGAAGGGTGGGGGGAGGGGGTGGACTCTCCCCCCCGAACCCCTTGCGCCGAACGCGTCCGAGCTCGCCCCCCCCCCCCGTAAAGCGGAGGAATTTTCTCCGCAGCTGCAGTCGTGGCCCCGGGCTGGGCGGTTGTGGTTGAGGAGGTTGAGGAGGGTGAGGAGGGAGTGGGGGTGAGGGGTGGGAATCGACTCTCCCACCGCAGCGGCGAGCAATTGGCGGGGAGCGGCTCCTCGGACATCCCCTTAGGACCCCCTCCAAGGACCCCGCGGGGCTAGCGTGCGTGTGTGCGTGCGTGCCCTGGGTTGCGGTGGTGTAGCGGTTAGCGCTACGCTGCGCTACGAACCTGGCGACCCGGGTTCGAGTCCCGCTCACGGTCAACACCACCAGTGACGATTAATCTGAACCGGTCCTGGGCCTCTCGTAGGTCGACTCAGCCTCAAATTAGTACCCGGTGCGACGTGTAAACATCGCCCCTGGAGAGACAAAGGCGGCCGGGCGTGGTGCTGGCCACCCACCCCCTCGCGTGCCGTGCCGGCCTTTATGGGTGCTCGCTAACAGCGCTTGCCCCAACAGTCTGTTACAGGCTACACGGTGGAGAGCTTTGTCTTTGTTTTTGTGTTCCCTGGGAAGCCTCGGAGCCGGGTAGCGGCAGGGCTCTCCCATCCCGGGGGTCCGCGCGGAGGGCACGGGTTCGATGGGTTTCGACTGCGGTGTGGGGGTGTTGGCGGCCCTGCCGGGGACATCGCGGGCTACCTGAGCTCATCCGAGGCGGGCAGAGGCTCCGCCCGGCGACCCTCGAGGGACGAGATCCTCGTGTCGCGCAACTGCAAGACGCCGAGGGGGGGGGAGGGGTGGTGGGGTCAAGGGAGACACACCAAGACGCGACACGTGAACACACACCCCGGGGTCACGGTCGCGACTCGTGAACAAGTGACACCTGACCCATAGGGCTGTAACGACACGCGCACGTGTGCGTGCGTGTGTGTGTACGCGTGGGACTAAATGCGGTGTGTAAACATCACCACTGGGGGAGACAAAGGCGTCCGGGCGTGGTGTTGGCCACCCACCCCCTCGTGTGTGCCGTGCCGGCTTTCATAGGTGATGCTACTTTCTTACAGCACTTGCACCAACAGTCTGTTGAGGCGATACGGGAGATCTTTATCTTCTGTGTGGGTGGGAGCGGTGGTGTAGCGGTTAGCGCTACGCTGCGCTACGAACCCGGCGACCCGAGTTCGATTCCCGCTCACGGCCAACACCACCAGTGACGATTAATCTGAACCGGTCCTGGGTCTCCCCTAGGTCGACTCAGCCTCAAAACCAGTACCTGGGTGCGGTGTGCAGTAAACATCGCCACTGGGGGAGACAAAGGCGGCCGGGCGTGGTGTTGGCCACCCACCCCCCTCGTGTGTGCCGTGCGGGCCTTCACAGTTGCGCGCTAACAGCACTTGCCCCAACAGTCTATTACAGGCTACACGGGGGATCTTTGCAACTCTGCGGTGTGGTGCCCCGCTCCCTCCACCACACCCCGCTCACTCGACCACACCCCGCTCACTCCACCACACCCCGCTCACTCCACCACACCCCGCTCACTCCACCACACCCCGCTCACTCCACCACACCCCGCTCCCTCCACCACACCCCGCTCACTCCACCACACCCCGCTCACTCTACCACACCCCGCTCACTCCACCACACCCCGTGACATCCACCACACCCCGCTCCCTCCACCACACCCCGCTCCCTCCACCACACCCCGTGACATCCACCACACCACGCTCACTCCACCACACCCCGCTCACTCCACCACACCCCGCTCACTCCACCACACCCCGCTCACTCCACCACACCCCGTGACATCCACCACACCCCGCTCCCTCCACCATACCCCGCTCCCTCCACCACACCCCGTGACATCCACCACACCCCGCTCCCTCCACCACACCCCGTGACATCCACCACACCCCGCTCCCTCCACCACACCCCGCTCACTCCACCACACCCCGTGACATCCACCACACCCCGCTCCCTCTACCACACCCCGCTCACTCCACCACACCCCGCTCCCTCCACCACACCCCGCTCCCTCCACCATACCCCGGTCCCTCCACCACACCCCGCTCACTCCACCACACCCCGCTCCCTCCACCACACCCCGTGACCGCTACCACACCGGACAACGGAGGCGCGTGCGTACCTGCAACACCAGGTGGCACCGGCTGAGCACGTGCACGCGCGCGCTGCCCTCAAGGCGGAAGCCGCCGCTGCCCTCGCCGCGCGCCGCTGCCCCCGCCGCCAGCAGCGTCTCCCCCTCGGAGCGGAAGGCGTACGAGAAGGAGGTCCCGGCGCGGAGGGTCTGCGTGGAGGGACCTGCAGGGGGGAACCACCACCATCACCACCACCACTATCATCATCATCATCATCACCACCCCGGGCTCTTAGTGGTTCCCTTCGCGTCCCCTTCACAAGGACCCCCCCACACACACACAACCCTCCCCCCCCCATCATCACCACAAGCCCCGTTTCCAGGAGGGTCCTTGCCGCTCTATTCTTTTGTTTGTGCTTGTAAGACGCTGTGAGGCCAAGGTGGACGACGCGGGTGTTTGTCACACGCGCGGGAGGAGACCGGAGCGCCCGCAGGAAACACACGCCGTGCGCGAGGGAGCAACGCTCTATCCCCCCCCCCCCCCCCCCCCTACTTTACAGACGGAAACAGGTGGCGGATCGGTCCGCCCGCCTTCCGTCTGCGATCCACCGACCCCGCACGATCCACTGACCCTCGCTGCCGCCTCCACAGCACCGGATGTCGGGCAGCCACGTGCGGTGTAGCCACCACAAAAGGGCACCCCCCACCCCTTTGCGTCCTCTGCGCAAGGACTCCCGACGCGGTGCATGGGACCAGAGCGAAACACCCCCTGACTTGCTTGGACTCGCCTGATATGGTGGTACTCATTTTTAGTCGTACCAACGTCTTTCAATTGCCGATTAAATTAAATAGTAATACAAATTTATAATCACGGCGACGGCCGTATTTAACGTGCTACTACCATCACGCAGTGCGCGCGTTTACTATCCGAATGCTAAGCAGGACACTTCCAGCGTCGCTAAATATTCGCCACCTTTTCGCGGTGCTCCGGACTTGCGAATTCTGCTCTTGGCCCGCCCACGGACTAACGCGGCCCACGGCCAGGTGGCCTTAGAGGGACAAGGCCATTGGCCCATTGCTTTTGCCGTGCCACTCCTCGTGGTGGTGGTGGTGGAGGTGGTGGCGCTTGCCCACGATGGTGTTGCTGTCCATGGTGCTGGTGGTGCTGGTGGTAGAGTTGATGGCCTTTCGGTGGTGATTGTCTCCTTGCTGTGGCTGCTGCTAGTGGCTGTGTCCATGCTGCTGTTGGCCTAGCTACAGAGAGGTTCCTCGTAGGCCCGGCGGCACAGAATGCAGAATCAATTGTTTATTAATACTGGAGGAATCCGATGAGCTGTAAAGCTCTTTTTTTTACAGATGCCCAGTAGGGGCGGGTACCACGTGGGGCAACCTCTTCCTTCCACCATCCACAGGGCGGTCGTCGTTGGGATATTTTTTGTTACACGCTTTTATTTAACTCACTCTGTCTGTTGTTGTTGTCGTCGTTTTCGTTGTTGTCGTCGTTGTTTTGTATCCTCAAATCTTGTAACTCAATTTTAACCCACTTCCCAATGTGGTATCGACTGCAAACTTGGTATGCTTATGTCATACTGATGACAATACTATATTCTATCATATAAATATAAAAATATATATATTTTTAACATTATTTTTTATACGTTATGTTTCGGCTTGGGTGTAATTGTCCACGGTCAACTGACGTTGGGTGTAATTGTTCACGGTCCTTTACGTTGTGGCAAGCTTCGGGGCCACTTCCTGGAGTCGTGGAGTTCTTCCATTACTAGTACATTTCATTAAAGCGTGTTTAAAAAAAAAGTTTGTTTAAATATTACTTATTATGTGTGAAGTCAGGGGCAAATTGTTCCCCTCTGGGGCCCTTGCTGCTGCTGCTGCTGCTGGTAGTGGTGGTGGTGTCAGCGGTGCTCGTAGCACGCGTGCCGGTGCCACTGTTAAAGAGCTTTGGTGCCAGTAAATTAAAACCCACGGTCCCGTGACGCTGGGTGCTGCTGCTGCTGCGTTGTCGGTGATGCACACGGACAGTTAACACAACTCAACACGTTCGTCAACAACGCAATGGCCTTTAAAAGGAGAAGAAGGAGGAGGAGGGGGGGAGGAGGAGATACATAATAGGCGACGTCTCGGGCAATGGCCCTTATTCAGTGGTGGTAGTCGTGGTGGTGCCAACACTCGATATCCGTAGCGCGCCGCCTGCAACCCCCCCCCCCACGCCCTGCGCTGGACAGCAGCGGGCGAGGCCCCGTGGAGGCGCAGGGCTTCGTAGGGGGTTCGTAGGGGCTTTGCAGGGGGTTCGCAGGGGCTTCGTAGGGGGTTCGCAGGGGGTTTGTAGGGGCTTCGTAGGGGGTTCGCAGGGAGTTGGCAGGGGCTTCATAGGGGGTTCGCAGGGGGTTCGTAGGGGGTTCGCAGGGGGGTCGTAGGGGGTTCGTAGGGGCTTCGTAGGGGGTTCGCAGGGGCTTGGTAGGGGGTTCGCAGGGGGTTCGTAGGGGGTTCGCAGGGGGTTCGTAGGGGGTTCGCAGGGGGTTCGTAGGGGTCGCTCACCCGTGCAGGCGGGGAGACAGGCGGGCAGGCTGAGGGGACCGTGCAGCTCCGCGGCGGGGAGGCCTGGGCCTGCCGGGGTGCCCGGGGAGCCTGCAGGGGGGGAGGCTGCGGGGAGCCGTCACGGCCATCAACCACCACCGCCACCATCATCATCACTCTCTCTTTCAGTATCATAACCATCATCATCTCCATCATCGCGACGAGGATTATCGTCATTGTCTCTTGTTCAGTATCATCATCTCCATTATCATAACAATCGTCATCATCATCTCTTTCTCGGCATCATCACCTCCATCGTTATAATAATTATTGTTAACTGTTACATTTCCTCGTCACCGTAACCAGCACGATTATCATCCCTCCATAATAACAATCATCACTTCATCATCACCATAATAATCTCCATCTCATCATCAACATCATCATGATCATAACCATCACCGTGCATCACACTGGGATGCGTGCATGCCGAGTGCAATGCGCGTGTGTGTGTTGTTTATGTGTGTGTGTTTGTGAATGCGTGTGTGTGTGAATGCGTGTGTGTTTGTGAGTGCGTGTGTGTGTTTATGAATGCGTGCGTGTGTGTGTTTGTGAATGCGTGTGTGTTTGTGAGTGTGTGTTTGTGGGTGCGTGTTGTGTGTTTGTGTGCGCATGTGTTTTTGTGAGTGCGTGTGTGTGTGTGTGTGTTTGTGAATGCGTGCGTGTGTGTGTTTGTGAATGCGTGTGTGTTTGTGAGTGCGTGTGTGTGCTTGTGAGTGCGTGTTGTGTGTTTGTGAGTGCGTGTGTGTGTTTGTGCGTGCGTGTGTTTGTGAGTGCGTGCGTGTTTGTGTGGGTTTGTGAATGCGTGTGTGCGTGTATGTGTTTGTGCGTGCGTGTGTGTTTGTTTGTGAGTGTGTGCTTGTGAGTGCGTACGTGTGTGTGTTTGTGAATGCGTGCGTGCGTGTGTTTGTATGTGCGTGCGTGTGCGTGTTTGTGAGTGCGTGAGTGTGTGTGTTTGTGCGTGCGTGTGTGTATTTGTGAGTACGTGTGTGTGCGTGTGTGTATTTGTGCGTGCGTGTGTGTTTGTGAGTGCGTGCGTGTGTGTGTTTGTGGTGGGGAGTGGTGGTGTCACGGTTAGCGCTACGCTGCGCTACGAACCCGGCCGCCCGAGGTCGATTCCCGCTCACGGCCAACAACAGTGACGATTATCTGAACCGGTCCTGCCCCCCCCCCCCCCCCCCATAGATCGACTCAGCTTCAAACGAGTACCTGGTGCGGTGTGTAAACATCGCCACTGGGGAGACAAAGGCGGTCGGGCGTGGTGCTGGCCACCCACACCCTTGTGTGCCTTCATACAGTGAGGGAAAAAAAGTATTTGATCCCCTGCTGATATTGGACGTTTGCCCACTGACAAAGAAATGATCAGTCTATCTTTTAATGGTCGGTTTATTTGAACAGTGAGAGACAGAATAACAACAACAAAATCCAGAAAAACGCATGTCAAAAATGTTATAAATTGATTTGCATTTTAATGAGGGTAATAAGTATTTGACCCCCTCTCAATCAGAAAGATTTCTGGCTCCCAGGTGTCTTTTATACAGGTAACGAGCTGCGATTAGGAGCACACTCTTAAAGGGAGTGCTCCTAATCTCAGCGTGTTACCTGTATGAAAGACACCTGTCCACAGAAGCAATCAATCAATCAGTTTCCAAACTTTCCACCATGGCCAAGACCAAAGAGCTCTTACTTATTACCCTCATTAAAATGCAAATCAATTTATAACATTTTTGACATGCGTTTTTCTGGATTTTTTTGTTGTTATTTTGTCTCTCACTGTTAAAATAAACCTACTATTAAAATTATAGACTGATCATTTCTTTGTCAGTGGGCAAACGTACAAAATCAGCAGGGGATCAAATACGTTTTTCCGTCACTGTAAGTGCTGCACGCTAACAGCACTTGCCCTAACAGTTTTTTAAGGCTAGACGGGGGATCTTTGTCTTTTTCTGTGTGTGTGTGTGCATTCTTAATTGTGTATGCGTGAGTGCGCGCGTGTGTGTACATGTTTGCAAGGTGTGTTTGTTTTTCAGTGTCGGTGTTTTATGTGAATCTGCGGGCGTACGAACCCGGCGAGCCGAGTTCAATTTCCGCTCACGGCCACCAACAACCAGTGACGATTATCTGAACCGGTGCGGCGGTCTCCCCTAGGTCGACTCAGCCTCAAACGAGTAGCCGGTACGGTGTGTAAACATCGCCACTGGGGAGACAAAGGCGGACGGGCGTGGTGCTGGCCCACCCACCCCCTCGTGTGCCGTGCCGGCCTTCGCAGGTGCTCGCTAACAGCACTTGCCCTAACAGCCTGATAACGGCTACACGGGGGATCTTTGTCTGTGTTCATGGGCACCGCGCGCTGCTCTACGTACCCGGCCATCCTGAGTTCTATTCCCAGGCCACGGCCAACATCACTCACCAAGCGGCAAGATCAATATCTGTCTTGATTCGAAGCTTTCGTGACTGCAGGAATCCATGCTCTTTGGTTCTTTCGGTAAAGTCAACACGTAGGTAGTAGAAAAATAAAACAAATCACGTGACGTTTCGATCGCAACACAAACAACCGTCATCAGGTGGGACAACCACAGCAAGGAAAAAACTGCTGAAGTTTTTTTTGTTCTTGCTGTGGTTGTCCCACCTGATGACGGTTGCTTGTGTTGCGATCGAAACGTCACGTGATCTACTATTATTTTTCTACTACCTACGTGACTTTGCAAAAGAACCAACTAGTATCATTATCTGTGTAAGAAAAGGTTTTTACCCGTCCTGGCTATAAAACAGTTTGTGTTAAGATGTTAACACTCCGAACTGAAACGTTCCGCAAGGAATCCTTTCGATGCATCGACCACACAGACTCGTGTTGAGCATGCAAACAAGCTACAATGCTCTGGTAGTATATGATGATGGCATTGTCTTTGGAACGTATTGGTCCACACCAGAGACGGCTTGCTTTAGAGCCTCGTCTCAAACGGTGTTAGACCGGAGGACATCGCAAAAAAGGCGAACAGCACAAAGACAACGCCACTGTCAGCTAGGGGTGAGCAGACACATCACGGGGCCTCCCTTGCCAGCATCCAAATACAAGAAGAGAGTTTTACCCTTTCTGGCAATAAAACAGTTTGTCTTCTTGGTTCTTTCGGTAAAGTCACGTAGAAGGGAAATGAAAAAAAAACAATAATAAAATACACATTCTCACGACGTTTCGGCCACAACACAAGCAGCCGTCCTCAGGTGAAGAGACAGAGCTGGTCGGAACGACAGCGCTCCAATGAACACTGCTAAGCTTGGCAGCGTCTTTGAAGCTGGGTGGGAGGAGCAGAGCGCTGTCTTTCCGAAAGCTACAGAGCTTCACCTGATGACGGCTGCTTGTGTTGTGGCCGAAACGTCGTGAGAATTTTATTTTATTACGTTTTATTTTTTTATTATTTTATCATTTCCCTTCTACGTGGTGACTTCGCCGAAAGAACCAAGAAGATGAATCCCTGCAGTCACGAAAGCTTTAAGTCGAAAAATAAAACAGTTTGTGTTAAGATGTTAACACGCCGAACTGCAACCTTGTGAAAGGAATCATGTCATTGCATTAATCACACGAACTCGTGGTGAGCATGTAAACAAACAAAAACATGCTCTGGTAGGATACGATGCATTGTCTTTGAAACTGATTGGTCCGCACCAAAACAGAGATCCCATGATCACAATCTGTCATGGGCACCCTCTCCCCCCACTCCTAGGTCAACCCAGCCTTGAATGAGGAGTACCAGCTTCGCTGTGTAAACATCAGCACGGGGGGGGGGGGCAGAGACGACCGCCAAGTGGTGCTGACAACACGACCCCCCAACTCTTCTTCTCTCCCTCCCTCTCTCCCTCACCACCTCCTCCTCCTCCCCTCGCTACCCCTCAAGCACCTGCCTCTGCGTGTACCTTCATGCGCTTTGGCGCGTTCGTTGTGCAGCAGCGCGCGTGCGCGTGTGTGTGTGTTCACGCGCGTGCGTGCGTGCGAGTGTGTTCACGCGAGTGTGTTCACGCGCGTGCGTGTAAAGGGTGGCGTGGGGATCGGTAGTGTAGCGGTTAGGGCGCTGAGATACGAACCCGGCCACCCGGGTTCGATTCCCGCTCACGGCCACCAACACCGATGACGACTGTCTGAACCGGTTATGGGCCTCCCCTAGGTCGACGCAGCCTCGAATCAGTACCCGGTGCTATGTGTACTGGTCACCCACCCCATCGTGTGCCGTGCTGGCTTTAATAGGTGCTCGCTAACAACACTTGCCCCAACAGTCTGTTACAGGCGATAGGAGAATCTTTGTGTATGAGCGTTTGAGTGAGTGTTTGAGTGAGTGTATGAGTGTGTGTATGAGTGAGTTTGTGATGAGTGTATGAGTATGTGTATGAGTATGTGTATGAGTATGTGTGTGAGTGAGTGTATGAGTGAGTGTGTGAGTGAGTGTGTGAGTGAGTGTGTGAGTGAGTGTGTGAGTGAGTGTATGAGTGTGTTTTTGAGTCGGTGAGTGTATGAGTGCGTGAGTGTACGAGTGAGTGTATGAGTGAGTGAGTGTACGAGTGAGTGTATGAGTGAGTGTATGAGTGAGTGTGTGAGTGCGTGTATGAGTGAGTGTATGAGTGTGTTTTTGAGTCAGTGAGTGTATGAGTGCATGAGTGTACGAGTGAGTGCATAAGTTGGTGAGTGTATGAGTGAGTGAGTGTATGAGTGAGTGAGTGAGTGTATGAGTGAGTGTATGAGTGAGTGTGTGAGTGCGTGTATGAGTGAGTGTATGAGTGTGTTTTTGAGTCAGTGAGTGTATGAGTGCATGAGTGTACGAGTGAGTGCATAAGTTGGTGAGTGTATGAGTGAGTGAGTGTATGAGTGAGTGAGTCTATGAGTGAGTGAATGAGTGAGTGTATGAGTGAGTGTTTGAGTGAGTGAGTGGGTGTATGAGTGAGTGAGTTTTGAGTGAGTGAGTGTATGAGTGTGTATATGAGTGAGTGAGTGTTTGAGTGAGTGTATGAGTGTGTGTATGAGTGAGTGAGTGTATGAGTGAGTGTGTGTGTGAGTGAGTGTACGAGTGAGTGAGTGTACGAGTGACTGTGTGTATGAGTGAGTGAGTGTACGAGTGACTGTGTGTATGAGTGAGTGAGTGTATGAGCGAGTAAGTGTACGAGTTGGGGAATGTACGAGTGAGTGTCCCGTGTGTGCACTCACCTGCCCCCGTGGCCGTGAGCGCCGTGAGCAGTACGAGGAGGGAACCCCACGCCATAGCGCCACCCTGGCCTCGGCCACGGGGCAGGGCAAGGCTCAACGCCGAAGGGCAGGGCACTCGAAGACGGGGCAGCACACTGAAATGCAGGGCAAGACTGAACGGTGACGGGCAAGTTAATTGGAGGGCAGCGCAAGGCTCAATACCGAAGGGCAGAGTTCAAGAGTGAAGGGCAGGGCTCAACACCGAAGGGCAAGGCTCAGAGTGCTGAAGGGCAGGGCACTCGGCACTCCGCGTGTGTCGGAGTCTCGGCGCGAGTGGGCGGTCATCCCGAGCGCGCGCGCGGTGTTGGGGGGGGGGGGAGCGAGAGTCCAGGTACCGCCCCGAGCCTGAGGCGCTCCCTCCCGCTACTCCCCACCCCGCTCACCTACCCCCGTCCCCCCCCTTCTCATCACTCGCCCCCCTGACCCCCCCTTACTGCTCCCTCCACCCGATCCCCCTACCCTTGGCCGCCTCCACTTATCTCCCTGCCTCGTTCTCCGTAGATTTCCCCATCGCTGCTCCTCCCCTCTTCCCCCTCCTGCCCTTCCCTCCACCTTCACCCTGCACCACCCACCTCCCGCTACCTCGTCAGACTGTTCATTCAACTGCTGCCTCCCTCTCCTGCTCCCTGCTGCTTCTGCTGCCGCCGCCGCTGCTGCTTCCTGCTCCCCCTGTTGCCTCCAACTCTCCTCCCTCTCTCTCATCGTCCTTAACCCTCCTCTTTGTCCGCACCCTCTTCCTCACGTGCCCTCCTCTTCCTGCTCCCTCCTCGATCTGTTCCTTAAATTGCTGCTCCCTCCTCCACCTCCTCCTCCACCTCTTCCACCACCTCCTCCACCTTCTCCACCTTCTCCTCCACCTCCTTCTCCACCTCCCCCACCTCCTCTTCCACCTCCTACTCCACCTCCTCCACCTCCAACTCCTCCTCCACCTCCTCCATCTACTCTTTCTCCTCTTCCACCTCCTCCACTTCCTCCTCCTCCACCTCCTCTACTTTCACTACCTCCTCCACCTCCTCCACCACCTCCTCCTCCACTACTTCCTCCACCTCCTCCTCTCTGTGTCTCTCTGCTGGCCCGTTATCACGGACCACTGTTAGGGAGCTCCCCTGGGGAACAGTGCGCGAGACACGGGGACCCCCTCTGTCCCCGTATCTCTTTGTGTCTCTCTGTGTCTCTCTGTGTCTCTCTGTCTCTCTGTGTCTCTCTGTGTATCTCTGTCTCTCTGTGTATTTCTGTCTCTCTGTGTCTCTCTCTCTGTGTGTCTCTCTCTCTCTCTCTGTATCTCTGTGTCTCTGTCTCTCTGTGTTTCCGTGTCTGTGTCTCTCTGTGTCTCTGTGTCTCTCTGTGTCTTTCTGTGTATCTCTGTCTCTCTGTGTCTCTCTCTCTGTGTCTCTCTCTGTCTCTCTGTCTCTCTGTGTCTCTGTGTCTCTCTGTGTCTCTCTGTGTATCTCTGTCTCTCTGTGTGTCTCTCTCTGTGTGTGTCTCTCTCTCTGTCTCTCTGTGTCTCTGTGTCTCTCTGTGTTTCCGTGTCTGTGTCTCTCTGTGTCTCTGTGTCTCTCTGTGTCTTTCTGTGTATCTCTGTCTCTCTGTGTCTCCCTCTCTCTCTGTCTCTCTGTCTCTCTGTCTCTCTGTGTCTCTGTGTCTCTGTGTTTCTGTGTCTCTCTGTATCTCTGTGTCCCCCGTGTCTCTCTGTGTCTCTGTGTCTCTCTCTCTGTCTCTCTGTGTCTCTCTGTCTCTCTGTGTCTTTCTGTGTATCTCTGTCTCTCTGTCTCTCTCTGTGTCTCTCTGTCTCTCTGTGTCTCTCTGTGTCTCTGTGTCTCTCTGTATTTCTGTCTGTGTCTCTCTGTGTCTCTGTGTCCCCGTGTCTCTCTGTGTCTCTCTGTGTGTCTCTCTCTCTGTGTCTCTCTGTCTCTCTGTGTCTTTCTGTGTATCTCTGTCTCTCTGTGTGTCTCTCTCTGTGTCTCTCTGTCTCTCTGTGACTCTCTGTCTCTCTGTATCTCTGTGTCTCTCTGTGTCTCTCTCTCTGTGTCTCTGTGTCTCTCTGTGTCTTTCTGTGTATCTCTGTCTCTCTGTGTGTCTCTCTGTCTCTCTGTCTCTCTGTCTCTCTGTGTCTCTGTGTCTCTCTGTGTTTCTGTGTCTGTGTCTCTCTGTGTCTCTGTGTCTCTCTGTGTCTGTGTTTCTCTGTGTCTCTCTGTGTCGCTCTGTGTCGCTCTGTGTCTCTCTGTGTCTATCTGTCTCTCTGTGTAACTCTGTGTCTCTCTGTGTCTCTCTGTGTCTGTGTTTCTCTGTGTCTCTCTGTGTCGCTCTGTGTCGCTCTGTGTCTCTCTGTGTCTATCTGTCTCTCTGTGTAACTCTGTGTCTCTCTGTGTATCTGTGTCTCGCTGTGTCTCTCTGTGTCTCTGTGTCTCTCTGTGTCTCTGTGTGTCTCTGTGTCTCTCTGCTGACCCCGCTATCACGGGCCACTGGAGGGAGGACCCCCTGGGGGACACTGGGGGTCCTCCCTCGTGTCTCTCTGCACCACTCAATGCCGCTGTCTCCACGTCTCTCTGCGTATCTCCATGTCTCCGTCCTTCTCATCTCTCGAGATATACACGCTCACTGAACACCCACGGATTCATTTTATTTCGCTGAAATAGTCCGGGGCAGAGTTCCGGGCGTTATTTCAGCACCACGCCCGCCTCCACCTCGCCTCGATTTCTCTCCAAGATGCGTAGAAACCTTCCCGTAGCATTAATTTATTCGCCTATCGGGGTACAATCATAGAGGATTATTGATGATTTATAGGCGCACCTTGTGTTCTAGTGGTAGTGCCTTACGCTGGCAAATACACACTCCCAAGCACAGCCAAGCCAGCGCCGTTTCCGTGAAAATATCGAGCGAGAAATGAAGGCTCCCCCGAGTGTACTCCGTGTGTCTCTTGTCCTGTCGTCTACCTGCGTATTTGGCTGTGTCTCCACCGCTCTCTAGATCTCCGTCTCTCTGTGTGTGTGTGTACCATGCTGTCTCTCCGTCTCCGCGTGTGTCTCTCTTGAGCGCCCGTGTCTCTCGGTGATGTAGATGCTTTGAGCACGGCACCACTCGCTCGCTCCCTCTCTCTCTCGCGCTCTCCGCTCGCTTGCCCCCCCCCCCCCTCGTTCCCGTGACTCTGGGGACGCCCGCCGGATGCGATCCCCGCGGGACCCCCGCGTATAAAGCCACGCGCGCCACGCCGCGCTCCGGCTCCTGCGACTCAGATCTCAGATCCTCCACCTGGCTCCTCCACGCTGCTCCTGCGACTCAGATCTCAGATCCTCCACCCTGCTCCTCCGACTCAGATCTCAGATCCTTGATCCTGCTCCTCCACCCTGCTCCTCCCACTCAGATCTCAGATCCTCCACCCTGCTCCTCAGATCTCAGATACTCCACCCTGCTCCTCCACGCTGCTTCTCCGACTCAGATCTCAGATCCTCCACCCTGCTCCTCAGATCTCAGATACTCCACCCTGCTCCTCCGACTCAGATCTCAGATCCTTGATCCTGCTCCTCCACCCTGCTCCTCCCACTCAGATCTCAGATCCTCCACCCTGCGCCTCAGATCTCAAATCCTCCACCCTGCTCCTCCACTTGGCTATTTCACTCGGCTCCTCCACCCTCCTCCTCCACCTGCTCCTTCACTGAGCAACTCCGCTTGGCCCCTTCACGTGCAGCGACATCCCGGCGTGATGTGGGTGAGTGGCGTCACCACCGTCACCAACAGCACCATCACCATCGTTGATACCATCATCATAATCATTTCCACCATCATCACATTACAATCACCGGCACCACCATCACTGCCATCGTTCCAATTATCATCATCGCCGCCATCGCCATCAGGCGATGCTGATTATGAAGGTGTGGAGATTGTTGGAGTGCTATTAGCGAGCACCTATTATACTGGTAGGAACGAAGTTGTAAACTGAGCGTACCAGCCTGCAATAGATTAATGTGTCCGTCCGTCCGTTCGTCTGTCCCCTTTCAATACTTTAACGAAGTGAAATCTCGTGCTGTTGGGTGCAAAATCAGCAATAGACAGCGCAGAGACTTGTCCTACCAGCCCACCCTGCAGGCACCTGTTAAGGCCGGCATAGCGCTCGAGGCAGCGAGCACCACGAGCAGCCGCCCTTGTCACCCCAGTGCTCACGGCTTGCACACCGAACCAAGTGCTCGTGCACATATCTACGATTGGTGGCCCGCTTTAGGTTTAGGCCCCACACATTCTCACATCGGTCGCCACGGCTGCCAGCCGTGGCCGGGAAATCATCGTGGCCGAGTTCGTGTGGCGGTGCGCTAACCACTCCGCCACCGCTCCTCGCGCGCGTGACAGCTCCAGCCCAGCGCTTTCGGCGTTACAGACCGCGGGGACGACGCGCTGTTAGCGAGCGCCTATTAATGTCTTTAAATAGGTCACCTCAACACAACAGGGCTCATTCTGCAGGCAGATAGAGCAGCAGCAGCAACTCCATCACTGCGTTTGACCGATTCAGATCGAGCCAAGCCCCAGCCCTCTATATGGCTACACGGTGGTGGTGGGGGAGGGTGTTCGTCTTTGTAAGCCGTTGTTGGGTAACACGATTGGTAGGGATTGCGTTTACCTCGCCTCTGCGTAAACATCGACCACTCGGGAGACAAAGGCGGCCGGGCGTGGTGCTGGCCACCCACCCACCCCATCGTGTGCCGTGCCGGACGTCATAGGTGCTCGCTAACAGCACTTGCCCCAACAGTCTGGTACAGGCTATACGGGGGATCTTTGTCTTTGGAGGGGCGGTGCAGCGGTGAGCGCGCTACGCTAGGAACCTGGCGACCCGAGTTCGACTCCCGCTCACGGCCAACACCGATAACGATTATCTGAACCGGTTCCTGCCCCCCACCCCCCCCCCCCCCCCACTAGGTCGACTCAGCCGTCAAATGAGTACTCGGTTGGATGTGTAAAAACATCGCCACTGGGGGAGACAAAGGCGGTCGGGCGTGGTATTGGCCACCCACCGCCTCGTGTTGC